GGATCAGAAAGTGGGGCCTTTGACTTTCTGCAGATGAAATGCTTAGTTTATGCTTTTTGATAAAGGGATTAATGTAAACATTTTCTTTTAAAGTATACTTTTGATTGATGTAGAAGAAATAGCTGGATTTGCACACTGCCAGCAAATTTCTGATGACTTCAACTTTGCATACAGGCTTAGAGCGGACAAGCATAAGCCACAGAGAAAAACCGTAGAAATTTAGAAAATACATTGCTTCATTATCTGCAAATATAGGAGATTGATGATAACTTTAAAGATAATTGTTATATCAGGCAATCCTGTTGTACTGGGAAGGCGCTTAATTACATTAAAATGGTTTATTATGATTTCTGGTTTAGAAGGAAGTTCAAAATTATAAATCATTAAGACAGTGCAAGTTTAATAGATCCATACTGCCAAGGAGCCAGGATCCCCTTTGGGAAAAGACACGGATGGCTCTAGCTTCCTGTGGATCCCAGCAATCCACCAGATGTGGGGGTATGTCCTGTAGCCTTTGATTGAAAATCCCAACTTGTGGGAGGAGCTCCACAAAGCAATCCTAGATTTGCTCGTCCAGAGACAATTTGTGTGGGTTTTTCCTGTGGGAGAGGAGGATCTTTGCCATGTGCAGTTGCTATTTTAAATGTATGGTTTCCTTTCTGAATTGTTCAACTTACAGCCTGGATGTTTGAGCTGAGAGTGGGGAGACCTGAGTACTTTTGATTCCCTCTTGATCACACAAGCCAATGGTCAAGTCCCTTACGCTTTTTGCATTTCCTTTTTATCCAGTCCATGAAATGGTGTTGGCTCAGAAATGCAAAATGTATGAGCATATGTATCCACACACATTTTTATAGTGCTAAAATCTAACCAACTGAACACTTCAGGTTTTCTATGCAGCAGCGAAAGTCCTCTCACTACAAATAAGAAATGATAAGCTAAAATGCATAGGTCTGTAGCTTCAACAGCTTGCTTTTGCAGAAGTTTAATAGATATTTAGCAATCATTCTAGGCAGTAATATCTCAGTCAACACTGTGGTGTTTGAAATAGAACTTTCACAATATGCTCAGTCTCATCTTCTCTACAGAAGGATACTGGCAACATCCCTCAGGGTTTTTCCACTGTTTCCAGTAGTTTTGTCATATTCCAAACTTATCTCTGAAGTTGTGAAGAGACAAAGATACAGTGTAACTGTGTGGTTGCTCTGTTTCCCTGTTTCTCTGTAATTAAAAAAAGCAGGTCTTATTGAGTTGGAGGAAAAAGTCAATTTTAAGGTATGACTCATATTTTGGTAGAATTATAATAACTGGAATTAAGTGGTAATTGTTAAATTTATTTTAATATAATCACATAGAATAGAAATTCCAGAGTGTGGAAGTATGTCTTCCCAAAAATTGTGCTGTATTCCACATAACTTTACTTTACAGTAAAAAAAATAAACAGGGGAAGTTCATAGAGCTCCATGGTTTTCATCCAACCCTAGCCTAGACATGTAGAATAGCACTTTCCATCGTCAAAGTCAGTAGTGCTAGCAGCGTCATGTATGTGTGGGTGGCAATCATCAAATGCTTCACTAGTGCTCATTGTACTAGATGCGGCCAATAAATATCTCACCTAGGGTGGCTAGAGAGTGGCCATGTCATGAGACTGCAGTCACACTAAAGGCTATGCCAAAGGCATATAGTTAGGTTGTTTTTTTAAAAAAGCAGCTGCAAGTAGTGACAATACCAAAAAAATGTTGGGTAGAGACTTTTTTTTTTTTTAATCCAAAGACCGGAGACATTTGCTACTGTTAACTAATGTAGGGTAGCCACTGTCCAAAGGAAATTAACTAAAAATGTACAGACTGCTGTTGGGCTTACCTTGTTTTGTGCTTTCCCTGTAAAACAAGGGCCAGTAACCATGAATGCAGTGAAATTTACCAAAATACATAGTTTTGAATAATCATTTTGTCTTACAGTGCTAGCTAGTAAGCTGCGGAACAGAATATAATGGAATTATCCCAATCCTGAAGAAATATTGCTGAGTGGAGAAGGAAATCCCTGAAAAATGTTACCAAAATGGACTGCAGATTTCTTTTAGCTCTCTTTCTGTTCATAAATCTTAGAGCAACAGTGATTTACTGAACATCCGTTGAAGACAAGAGATTTGTGTGAGGCTATTTTTCGTTTTGTTTCTGCTTTTTTTGTTTTAAAGCCATTCTAGAAGCACAGTATTTCCAAAAGTTAAAGATTTATTTAAAATATTTATACTTTCAAAACATACATCACTCTTTCATTCATTCTCTAACAGAAGGAGGTATTTCTATTAACACTGACTAGAAGAGAGCCAGGTTCATTTATACTATCATCTCGCCAAAGCATTAGGAAAGTTGATCATGTATTACAGAAATGTTTCCCTCCCCATCCCTTGGATAATGGGTGAGAGAGAAAATGGGTGAAACTACATTGTTTTTCCCACTACATCTTCCAGGTGATCCATAGCTAACACTTGCATCTTAAGTGGACTACTCCTTGTGCTGCAAGGTAGCAAAATGTTAAGAAACTGTACTGCAGGACTCCTGAGAGATGGACTTTTAGCTGGACTCCAGAGGATTGTTTGCTTTTCTGCACAGCATAGGGATGATGATGATTTTCATGGCATTTCTTGTTCAGCATATGTCTACACATTTGAAAAGTAATAAGCAACTGGAAGTAGAAGAGCTGTATGTTTAAAGCAGGACAAGAATCTTTTGATTATATACAAAGACGTGGCAGTGCTGAATCTGTGCTTTTTCTCATAACTACTGATACATAATATGTAGATAGTACAGCTGCCCCAAAGTGTAGTAAAAAGAACCTAGGTGCCACAAGTACTCCTCGTTCTTTTTGCTAATACAGACTAACACGGCCACGACTCTGAAACCTGCCACCAAAGTGTAGTGTATAAGTGAGTATGTGGAACTGGGAAAGCCCTTTCTCTAGAAAAAAGAAAATAGATAGAGATCTTGTAGATGTTTGTCTGAGGGGTGGGAGCAAATGCGGTTGTACCATAGAGCTTGGCTGTAGACAATGGATCATGTGGTGTGGTCCGGATGAAAGCTGGAGGCATGTAAGTAGGCATGGCAGTCAGTAGGTTTCCGGTATAGCGTGGTGTTTATGTGACCATCGCTTATGAGCACCGTAGTGTCCAGGAAGTAGATCTCTTGTGTGGACTGGTCCAGACTCCAACGAGAGACTGCTGAATTGGAATTAATTTGCAAACTGGATACAATTAACTTAGGCTTGAATAAAGACTGGGAGTGGATGGGTCATTACATAAAGTAAAACTATTTCCCCATGTTTATTTCCCTCCCCCTCCCCCCCGCTGTTCCTCAGACATTCTTGTCAACTGCTGGAAATGGCCCACCTTGATTATCACTACAAAAGGTCACCCCCCCGCCCCAAGCTCTCCTGCTGGTAATAGCTCACCTTACCTGATCACTCTCGTTACAGTGTATATGGTAACACCCATTGTTTCATGTTCTCTGTGTATATAAATCTCCCCACTGTATTTTCCACTGAATGCATCCAATGAAGTGAGCTGTAGCTCACGAAATCCTATGCTCAAATAAATTTGTTAGTCTCTAAGGTGCCACAAGTACTCCTTTTCTTTTTCCGGATACAGACTAACATGGCTGCTACTCTGAAACCTCTCTAGAAAAGACATTCTTGCCTATGGTTTTAATAATGGAAGACTTTTGCAAAGGATTTCTTTGTATTTGTTTTTAAGGGTATGAGTTGAACATTCTTAACCAATCAGCATGGTGGAAAGGGATGGGTCTGTGCCCTGACCTATTAATTTGCATTGGGAAACAATTTCATTTCTTCTCTAGGGGAAGAAAAGGCAAATTATAAACTGCCTGATTTCCCTTCTCCTGCAGGGAAAAATCCTGCAGGAGGGAGTCAGAGAGGTAGGACCATTCTTCTTTGAGGTTCACTTTTATAGAGCTTCTTACAGAACGTCTGGGGGGGTGGCGGGGGGAGGAGCTGTGGAGTTCACAGGGCCTTCCATCAACGTGGAGCCTGGCATGCAAGAAGGGACTCCCTCACAGTGCAGGCAGGAGCCTGTCTGCAAAAATGGCTCTCTCTCCTCTTACTCCATACACTCTCTACTGAGAGCAAAGTTGCTGAAGGAGCCCAGAGGGTAGTAAATACAACTTAAAGCTGTGTTAACTCCAAACTGTACTTTTGTGCAGAAATCTAGCGTTCTACAGCAGACAGTGCCAGTTTGAGGTGCCCTGAAATCTCTATAGAGCACCTTCCTCTCAGATTTGCATCTATGGAGAATGAAGGCAGAGGGGGGAAATGAGACTATTGATGCATTGCTCCCTCTTGTGGCAAGAAGGAGATCTACACACAGGAGTTGCTCCAGACCAAACCTTTTACTATGGAAAACGTGTCTAAAGAATCTTTTTAAACATGAAAATGGCAGCTACATGAGCCATGATTTCCAGGAAAAGTTTACTATCAAATTAATTTTGTACACCTGAACAAATAGTGGAATAGTAGTGCATTTCTTAAATGGCCTTCAAGGACTTCTGCTTTACGTACAATATAAACTTCAAGTCATGTTTGTTCTGGTAAGCACTGATGGGCTTGGTTCCCAAGACCCTCTGGTCATTTTTAATTTAGCCTAAGGAGGATAAATGATCCATTCTTCCACTGTATTCATCATTTGCTTTTTTCTAAAATCCTGGCTATACTGTAAATTATCGAGCCTCAAAACATGATAGAATACAAACTAAAAATTTTTTTAAGACATTTCCATAATCGAGAGAAACTTCTTAATGTCTTTACTAGCAAGTTTGTTTCAGCAGCTAGAAAATTATCGAAGAGAAAACCTGATAAAAAGATCTTTGTACAAATAATGAAACGCCTGAGATTCAAAAGCTTCTGACTTAATCTGGAAGACTGAATTTTCTCTCACCCAAACTAAAACTCAGAGATAGGAAAAAGTGTTTCTTTACATTCATAACCAGGTCGGATCAAAACCAATAAGCCTTCTTGTTTAGTTATCCCATTTCATAGCCTAGCAAATACGTAAATTTAATAATATACACAAATTAAAAATTAATTACAAAGATAAATTACAAGCCACATTTGGAAAAAGAAATACTTTGTAAAGGGGTTGGGGGGGGGGGGAGAGAAGAGATTGTTTTGTTTTTTGCCAGACTGTCACCCAAGATTCAAAATCTTTTAGGTATCACATGTAATATTTTACATGTTCTGGTCTCTCCCACTGATTTAACAGAGAAGGGCGATAATGTTTCAGAGTTTGCATACAAAGACACCAAAGAAGAAATGGTTAAGACACTGCTGAAGCTCCAGAATGTACTCCATTTTCTGAGACAGATTTGGCTTGGTGCAAGGCAGCTTGAATTCTGAAATGTGTTCTTGTTTCCATGGAGTAATTCTTGTAATTTTGTCTAAAACAAAAAACAGATCCATTCTGAGCATCATATCATTAAATATTTTCTAGTTATTTTTACTACACAAAACAATTGCAGACAGCAAAAAGCCTTTCTTCAGTTTCCTTTGTTGCGGTCTCTAAAATATAAGGCCATATGTGCTTGGCAGAAAAATGCAGCTCTTTGTTCTTTTATTTGTAGTTCTAGTGTCTGGCACCTACCAGGGAAAATACAGCTTAATAAGAAACTGAATCTGTTCCACTCCTTGAGAATGCTGAGTCCATATTAAATATCCATGATGTCAACTTAATCTATTCCCAGAAATTAGATTTAATTTTTTTTTATCTGGTTGACTGAACTTTATGATTAGTCATCTTCATGGGATTCCCCCCACCTCACCCTTAATTTTAATAATAATAGTCAGTGTGGGGTGCGGACAGGCACTTAACCATTTTACTGCAGCCACGTGAGTCCAGGAACAACAGAATGTGAAAGTGAGTGCACTGTTCACAGGTAAGAGAGAAAGGATGAAAATTTTATTAAAAAATTCTTTTAGTTTTAAAAATGTAGCATAATGCAGGGACAGGACTTACTTAAGTGCCTAAATTTTGACATGTAAACCATGGAAGGAGTGGTGATTGTGTGCACTTGTTTTCCATGCTACAGTTTCTTCTGGGCACTTCAAATTCTTATCTCCAACTTATTTGCTGAATTTACAAAATAATAATTTAGTAAACAAACAAAAGGCTACACAAGAGAGAGCTGAACCATCCAGAAGAAACAAACGGATGCTGGAGATCTCTCGGCATGGAAGCTACTCAGAGTAGAAACAACATGTCATTCTCTGATACGAAACCACAAGAGCAAATCAAACCGTTGTACAATTGAAGTGCTACAAAGGTACATGGCCCCAGCCAAAGCACAGAAGGCAGAAAGCTGAAGACCAGTCCAACTATGTTATTACTTAATGACCTTTTAAAAAAAAAACCACTTTGTAAAACATGCCACAGAAAAGGTGAACCAAGATGAGGCTACAGTTGAACAGAAATGTTTTAAGACACACAAAAACGATAAAGGGAGCAAATCCAGCTCCCTGTCCCGAGACAAGCCTGTTGGCAGCAGCATCAGTGTAGTGTGTACAGGGTGATGAGCGGGCCAGCTGATCTGGGGCTAGGGGAAGAGGGTGAGAGGGGGAATTGGGCTGGGATAGCCTTCATGGAGCAGCTCCACAGCATAGGGGAGAAAGGAAAGAAAGGATTCTAGCCTCCTCCGCATATGTCCTGTGCTGGCCTGGGGATTTGTCCCTACAGCATAATATTATGTTCTAAACAGTGAGGGCAACCTAAATTGAAGTTTTTCCATTTCCCCTGTCAGTTAAGCCCAAAGACAGTGCCCACAGTGGTACAAAGCACAGATCCTCTTTTGTAGGTATTAACGTCTTTACTCTTACAGGAGAAACAGAGAACTTATGTCCTGGCAGGTGTCAGACCATTTTAATTTATTTAAAGAGAGCTGTCATTTTTATACTACAGATGCATGTTAATTATTTAAAAACTCTTAAACAGTTTATTTTTAAAAGCATTTCAATTCAGCTTCATTCAGTCCTATCACTCATGGGAGTATGGGACCTAGAAATGGGCAGTTTCTATCAGAAAGCTCTGAACTCCAAACCTATCAAATCACTCTGCTGCTTAGCTTAACAATGTAACAACTGACACAAGAGGCTGACAGAAGGAGGTTGCTGGAGGGTAGCTTGTGATAGTTTCTGTTTATGTTCTCTCTCTGACTTTGCTGATCTCCAGCTCCTAGTTTTTTACATTATCCAGATGTTCCAAATCTCATTTTCTCCTCAGTGGATTAAAAATATTGCTTGTAGCATATGCCAATATAAATGCAAGAACTTCTGTTTACATCCAAACCAACGATGTTTATAATTTCACCCCACTCACTATCCTACACCTAAGATACTCAAACCCGCAGTAGTATATATATGTAGGTCACACAGAAGTAAGCACCATGTGACAGACAGTATACGCTCCTCTCCACTCTAGGGATTTACAAACACGAGTCTGCATATCAGGAATTCGCTTTACACAACCAGTTCTCCCTCTAGTGGTTAAGGAAAAACTTGCAATTCTAACCTGGGCATTCAGAAAATCCACACATCTTCAGTGGTTAATTATTTACAGTGAATTGATCTTACCGTAATAATGATTTTCTCATTCCTAAAAGGTAACAGTGTCGTGAACTGGTAAACAAAAGGTTTCAGAGTAGCAGGTGTGTTAGTCTGTATTCGCAAAAAGAAAAGGAGTACTTGTGGCACCTTAGAGACTAACAAATTTATTTGAGCATAAGCTTTCCAATGAAGTGAGCTGTAGCCCATGAAAGCTTATGCTCAAATAAATTTGTTAGTCTCTAAGGTGCCACAAGTACTCCTTTTCTTTTTGATAAAGGTTTTTTTTTTTTTTTTACATGTAAGTACTGTATGTGAGACAGAGTTATTTTAGAAATCTTTGGGATAAAGGAGTTATTTTAGATAGCAGGTGATCAGCAGTTGGGGGATTTACTCAAGTATTATGGAGCAGCCATATCTAATCCAAAGTCAAGGTAGAAGCAAGCTTCCCATTGTAAGTGCCCATATCTGAGCAAAGCAGCACTGAAACTGAGCCCCTTGCAGGAATATGCTGCTCACCAAAGAGTCTAAGTTAAGAACTGTTTATCTCTCACTCCTGGCTGAAGCAAGCTATCCTTTGCTTATTGTTTTTTTGTTTGTTTGTTTGTTTGACCCAGCTGAAGAAAGCCCCAGAACTAACTCTTCATACATTAGGCCAAATCAGAACAATGTTCTGTGCTTCAAAAAGTGGCAGGATTCAATATTTCTCTTTAAACTTGTTCTCCCCTTTGCCTACACAAAGAACAATGTCTTAAATAATTTGTAAACTTTTCTAAATATAAACTAAGCTGCTACTGATTCCAGGCTGTCCTGCCCTAGCTGCTGACTCCAGCCTAGAGGTGTGCGTTGGGGGAGCATGGACCCTGAAGTGGCAGAGCACTGCAGTAAGTGAGGAAGCATTAGACAGAGTGAGGAAGTGTCTGGATTCCTTAACTCTTCATTTCCAGACTATTTTTAAGTGCACAGTTTTTCAAAGGAAGTAGGGGAGGTCCTTTGGGGGGCTGCGAAGTGTTTTGATGGTGTTCACTTTCAACTAGCTTTGTGTGGAATGAAGTTTTTGTTATTCTAAATGTGTTATTTGAGAGACTGTGTAGTCTGGGATCAGAGGCACTGGGGGGAGAAGTCAGGATCTCCTGTTTTTTAATCCTGGCTCCGTGTAAGCTTGGCCAGGCTACTTCCCCACTCATCCTCATCAGTAAAGTGGGATAACACCTACCTAACCCACAAGAGTATCTAGTGGATTACTTAGGAAATGTTTACACAGCATGGTCTATAGTGTACAATACTATTTTTTTCAGGAAGGAATTCTGGCCCAATATAAAGCTGAGAACGGTGCAGACACAGAATGGTAAGTCTGTTATGAGGCAAGTACACTATCAAGCCAAGATGTTCTTGATAAATCTAATTGATAAAAAATTAGTAATGTTCAAACAGTAGTATGGCAAAGTGAATCGTTCCTGCTATTTTTCAGATACACTTAAAGTAATGCAAATGAAGAAGCTAAATACAACCTGAAAATCATTTTTACTACATGCACTTAAATGAAGTAGAAGAAAAGTTCATTGCTGGCCAGCAATTTCAGTAATTGCATTTCTGACATACCACAGATTCTTGACTCCACCAAATGTATCCTCCATGCAAAGCTAAATAGCCTGAAGAGGCAGTTACTTTGTTATTTAGGAGTGATTTCTAGTGGGAAATCCTGATAGTCAAGTTAAAATCTTTAAGTATTGAATCAAATCAGTTTAAAGCAGGAGTTTTCCTGAAAGTAAAATACATGGTTTGGTGCATTGAGGAACAGCATAGCCCAGTAAATAATACATCAGGGTTCTATTCCCAACTCTGTCCGCAACCTGCTGGGTGACCTTTGGGAAGTGACTTCACCTTTCTGTGCCTCAATGCCCACCCCAGCCTTTGTTTAAACCATAAGATCTTTCAGATGGGATGGTCTCTTACTGTGTGTTTGGACAGTGTCTACCACAACGGGGGTCCTGGTCGTGGCTGGTACTACCATAATACTAACAAAAAAAGTATCCACTGCATTAGTCAATGGTCTCCACCTTGCCCCCTACGTTTCAGTAAAATGCCTTAATCAAATTGACCAGATAGAGACCTGAGCAGGCATTTGGTAGTCTTACTTTGCTCTTTCCAGTAACTTTACTCCTTCTTCTCTTCTACCATGGTCCATGTATAGTACAGCAAGTTCAAGCAGGGCATTTGGGATTAAATAATGGTCATACTTTATCTTCCTCTCACTGCAAGAGAAGGAGAAACAGTTACAAGGTTTTCATGCTGCAATTTTCTCTCATTCTAGCTACAAACAAATAGGAGCTCAGTTAGGGTTAGGAGGGGATAGTCCATCTCTTCAATGATGCTTACTCTTCAGGTAGTCTAACCTAGACTATCTCTAGGTTATTCAGTAAGTGCTCTATACATTTGCATGACAATACATGACCATCTTTTGCAGCTTGTTATTTACCGTGTTTACAAGTTTAAGGGGGATGGAGGATGGTGGAGGCAATGACAAAAGGTAGCAGTGCTCCAAGCACCACCCGCTTGCATTGCCAAAATGAGATGCCATTCACTGTAGATCGTGCAGTTATTTCAAATAGGACTGTTCTGCAAACTGATTCTTTGAGCTTAGCTCCCATTTGATTGGGCTTCAGTATACACACAGGCTCTGATAGGTTCCTTGGGCTTGGCTTCTTTATGAGTGGGCGGGGGAAACTGTAAGTGATACTAGCTTCTAAATGTCACCAACTTGTGGCACCAAAGTGAGAAGTTACTCAGAGTAAGGCTACGTCTACTCTCGCACTTTTGACAGTATAACTTACGTCATTCAGGAGTGCGAAGAACACCCCTTTAAGCACATAAGTGACACCGACAGAAGCATGGGTGTGGACAGCACTATGTCGGCAGGAGACGCTCTCCCACCGACGTAGCTAATGCTGCTTGTTGGAGGTGGTTTAATTATGTCAGTGGAGGAGCTCTCTCCCACTGGGATACAGCAGCTGCAGGAGTAATCTTAGAGCGGCAGAGCTGCATCTGTACAGCTGTGCCGCTGTAAACTCACTAGTGTAGACATGGCCTAAATTGTGGAGTCTGTGACTCTCCCTCCTCTCTTACATGAGGAATGAAATAGTTAACAATGTTGGTATTAAATCATCATCACTGGGCATCTGAGTTAATAAAATGAATGGAGCAGTTCACACTTCTCCAAGATACTTCTCCAGCTCTCTGCAGACTCCCTTTAGACTCGTCTTCACTGAGAAAAAAAAGCTGCATTCTTAACTCAAGTTAGCTAACTCAAGGTAAAATCCTAGTGAAGACAAGGCAGTTTGTAGGTTTTTCACATGGCGTTAACAGGTTGCGTTAAACCCTACCAGGGAGCCTAACCTTTAACTCAACCTGCTAACATGTGAAAACTACAAACTGCCTTGTCTTCACTAGGATTTTATCATGCGTTAGCTATGACACAGTAGAACACACTCTTCCCCCTCCCCCAGTGAAGATTATTAAACTTGGGTTTAGAATTTAACTATTTTTATAAAGGCAAAAGGCATGGATTTGTTTTGTTTGGAAGGTACACAATGGGTCAGTGCTCTATGAAAACAAAAACAAAACTCACTTCTGAATATGTAAAGCCAAATTTTTAGGCCCTATGTATGTTAAGAAAATGTGCACCATTGTAATTACGTCAACATAGCCACTTCGGTATGTTACCAGGTTAAGCTGTGCCAGGGCAGCATGCAAGCATCTATACCAATGTAACTAAATTAATATCGTTCCATCAGTGCTAATGTCCTTAATGTAAATGGGGCCTTAGTGAACAGAGAAGCAATTTGAGGGTGTAATTTAATTACCCGGGAAAGCTTCACTTAGTATCTAATTCATAATGAGGTTTTTCTACCCAATTTTACGGTGCCTTGACTGAGGAATATTGAGATTAAAGTCCCAATCCTGAAACCTTTTCCGTGGATGTAGCTGTCTCCAGCTACGCAGAGCTTCCATAGGGTGTGGGATATCGGCACACAGAACAAATTCCAGGATTGGGATGTAACAGAGCAACAGCCAGCCTAGGAATCATTTTGGTTCTAAAATTACATACACTCAAAAATAAAGGTTTCTAATAGAAGAGTTAAGAGAATCTTAACTATAACATCACAAATACTTTAGAATGGTACAATTAACGCCAGTCCTCCTCAACTGTTCTTTTAAAATTCCTCTCACAGAAACCCCCAAACAGTCCTAGGTCTTACTCAGCTGAATTAAAATACAGTTCTCCTTTGACAAATGAATAAAAATGGGGCTGTGTGTGTGTGTGGGGGGGGGCAGCACATTTACTGCATTTCAATGGTTCTGTATCAAACATGCTCTTTTACACGTAAGTTTTTTCTAACTTCCAGCCTTTCAAATTCAACCTGTGCTCGTCAAGTTAAGCTGGGTTCTTTTCATACATCATCCACCAATCCTGTGCAGACCAAAAAGTATGCCCTGTGCAACACCTGCGCATCCTCATCTCCTTCAATAGGTTTCTTGTCATTTTAATTCAGGGAACAATTCTGTTGATAGTACACAAGAAATAACAGAATCCAGCTCGCACTCTTAGTTGTGTTGACTCTGCAGAGCTAGCAGAAGTAGAAAGAAGTATGTCCCTAAAGAAGTATGTCACTTTGGTCCCTAAAGTCAGCAGATATAACTCTCTGTATACACATGGATTGTAGATTTGCTGAGTAAAATGGTGCCACTGTAACACAGATATTTTAGAGAGAAGCTCTACTTAAAGGACTTGACTGCTTGACAGTGCTACTTACACTCAGCATTTCTTGAGTTCTCCTGTGTGTTAAATATGGAAACTTACTTTAAATGGATGTAAGTGAAATGATCTTCTGCCTCAGAAATCTTGCCCAAGTGCTTCAGACATAAACCCTTTAACAGCTTTACCAAACATTGGTCATCTGCTAGTAATTCTGTAGCTGCAAGATAAAGTAACGGTTTTATCAGTTTTGCATTTTGAAATAACTTGGTCCCTTAAAAAAAAAAATTAAAAATAACTGTTCCAAAAATACTAAGCGGGCACATTTTCAGAACCTCTTTGCAACAGTTAAGATTTTCATAGCATTGTTTTTTTATTTGTATGGCGCTAGTGCCCCATTCAGACTGGCTGGATTCTATACACTCCCTGTGAGATAGCTGCTGCCCTTTGGCGCTTATGGTCTAAGGCCCTGATCTGCCATCAGAGATGCACTAGAACCTTTGCATCCTCATGGACATTCCTGGCATGTACGCTATCCGTTATTTCAACGCAGGCACGAGGGTCTGCATACATGACCTAACAGGGGCCTTGCTTAAGAGAAGATGCACAAGTAGCTGTTTAAAAAGCAAAGTTGCTTCCCCTGGGGAAAGGAGGACGGGATCACCTTGTTCCAGGCTAGCTATGTGCACAGTTACATGGGTTAGAGCCTGCACCATTTTTTTTCTTCCAGTAAGATAAATCAAATGTATATCAGCACTCCCCACTGGCCATCTGTTCTGTGAACACATTTACATGTCTGCACTTTTTAAAACTTATAATGTATCCTGCCACTGCTATGCCCGTTGTAGAGACTAGTCAATAAGGGCCCAATCCTGGAAATACTTCTGCACGTGAGAATTTTATTCTCATGAATACTTCTACTAACTTCAACAGACTTCTTACAGCATCTAACATCAGTCACATCCATGTTTGCTGGATTAGGCCTTTATAGTGTTAGAGCCTTGCCCCAGGGATTTCAGTCTAACTTGGTCTCCTTCCGTAAACTGCTATTTAAATGGACATTGTCAACTCGAAAAATCACACTTTTGTAAAACATATTACGGCTAATTGTAACTCCTAAAGGAATGAGAGAGAAAAAAATCTGCTTTTAGGATAGACTTTTCATTTAAACTATACAGCACTTTTCAGCCAGTGTCCTCAAGACACTTTACAATCATCGATGAGCCTCCGCAAACTGCACGGACATATGAATGCTTTGCAAACTGGTACATGCTGACCCATGACAAAGTAGCAGAGTGGGTGACTGAAACAGCAAAACCCCTTTTCCGACCATTCCATCAGACTCCCTTCCCTTCAGCTAAAAGGTCCCCCCCACACCCACCCTTTTTCCAGAGTTAACAAGGGGACAAACTTGCCTGATGTGTCAAGCAACTCATATGCCTCTGAGACTGACTTAAAAGTTCCGTTTTCAATGTTTCAGGCTGAATTACTAGTTTTGCTACATGTTCACTGAAGGACACAAGCCACCAGCTGATGACAATGTCATTCTGTGACCAAATGAGCTGGGAAGATACCTCTCAGGTGTCTGGGCCTAGGGTGATACTAATGATGAGCATTACTAAGTAGCTGAATGACACCTGCTGGACAACCAAGAACAACATTAACAGCGTTCTTCAGAGAATTTAACTTGCCCGCTGGCTGGAGAATAGTAGTATAGTGGGAATTGCAGAAGAGCAGCTATGCAGGCCAGGGGAACCCCTGCTGGATTGGGGAGACCAAAAAATAAAGGATGGAGAGAAAAAACAGCAATTCTATTCTGCCATGCCTGTCTAGTTAACACACTGAAACCGGGCATGGTATAAGAGTCTGGCCTAATTTTGTACCATTCCCTTCTTCTGCTCCAGTTTTTTGTACAGTTCATTTAAGTGCAAGTGTTTTATAGCAAATAGTTAACACAGAGATATCAGTCAACCCTCCAGCTTGTGTGGTTAGTAGACGATGGTGCTTTCTATAAATCAGCTTGGTGCTTTTCTCCTCCACTGTGTTCTTTAGAACTGAAATAAGACAGTACCTGCATATAGCGAAGCATGTGCAGTTCGTGGCCTGTCACCCATAGTGTAATTGAAGTCAATGCAAATGATAAATTTGACCCTTACATTTAAATATGTACTTTGTAAAAGAAATGGTCTTTCAATACATATTTGTGGACAGTTCCTAAGACGCATCCTGTAAGTGACAAGTCTCTTATGCCATATTACAAGTTAATGCATTAGTAGAGAAATGTTATTCCTATTTGTATTAACAACACATGGTGACATAATCCAGCTCACTCTTGTGACTGTATTAACTTGTTTTACTATCTGGAAAACTTTTTTTATTCACAGACAACCAGACTATCTTCAAGTACATATACTACTGTAAAGCACCTGCTTAAATCAGATCAGTGCTTACCTGGGCTTCTTTCTAGTGCTGCTTCTGCCTCAGTTAATGTCTGCAACATGCCTTCTGTTAAATCAGGACGTTTTCCAATCACAGCATAGCCATTCCAGATATACATCATTTCCTAGGGGTGGCCAGGACACGTTTAATTAATGTGGCGATGGAGAGATGTAGGTAGCTAATTATTTAGATTATTTCAGCAAGGGCAGAAGTTATGAATTCCTTCCTAGGTACGGATACTGCTGTTATGGCTTCACTGTAACTCATTGTTGAAAGCAAGGACGTCTAAGTCCTCTTAGCAAAAATAACGAGGAGTCCTCATTGTTTTTGCTGATACAAACTAACACGGCTACCACTCTGAAGTCCTATTAAGGCATCTAGTCCACCCCTTCCCTTTGCCAATACAGATCACTTGAGTAGAACACCAACTCTGTAATATAGGAGGCAGCTGTGAAGCTGAGAGAGAGACTGGAGGACTGGATGGCTCAGTATATCATTGTCTACTAAATGATATAAGGTTTTTAGAATAAATTCTATAGAGCCAGCCCTATTGGTTTCATCCCTATTCATTCTGTAGGGCTTTTCCATGGGGGCAGTTCACTGGCCTACAGGAAATGAGCCTAAGCTCTATTCTAAATGCTAATGAGAAGTACCTATCACGACAAGCACCATCATACCTGGGACTTTTAGAAGAAGAGTTAAAGACAGAATTATTACGGAGACTTCTTAAAACCTTTCTTTACCTGTTCCTAAAAGGTCTATTTTGTAACTTAAATGTTTCTTATTTCTAAATTCCTGTACGCATTAATTTTATTCTAGGGCTGACGAGTAGCGCCGCGTGCAAAGGCACGGTTGCTATAGCTGGGCTGTTTTTTAGTGGTTGAGACGACAGTGCTGTGCTTATTCATCTCTAGTGAAGACTCAGTTGCTTGAGTGGTTATAAAAATACCCCAACTGCGTTTTTCCATAGTTTAAATAAAAACTTCCTGGGCTAAATCTGTGAGTTAGGACCTGATTCCAATAAGCAAGTTCCTTCCCACCCAAATGAAAAGTCCTAGAAAGTATAGCCATTCCGTTAAGATTCTGTTATAAATTGCTTGTTACCTGAACCCCAATTCCATCAATCCCCTAGTCTTTAACTATTAGAGAGTGACACCTGGTGCCTTGAAAGTGCAATTACAGCAAATGGAAACAGAATACTTAGCACGAAGACTTGCTAGAGAAACCTGTTGCACCAACCATCACATAAGACCAGCCCTAGTGAAACTCAGGGTATTTCTGGCTTCCAGTGGCTTATGGAAACCTATTGGATGGGGATGCAAAGTAATTTTCATCAGAGATGACCCCATTATTGGCCTCCACCTAAATCCTTGGATCTTGTTGAAACTGGTCCTTAAAGGATTATGCATGCTGAGTTGATGTACAGTTGCAATAGAGACTGAATTTTGAAACAAACCATGCTTTCACACTTTACAGCCAGTGGACTGAGAGAAGAGTACTAGCTATAATATACACTCTGTCAGGTCAGGCACTCATGAGTGAAGGGACAAACTGTAAGAGGAGATGTACTGACTCACCAAAAAGAGCATAATGATCCTTTGAGTTGTCTTTAAGATACATACTAGCCAAGACTCTTAAAGGAAGGGCCTGACCTGACAGACAGCATACAACTAGACAAAACACCTGAATTGGTTAGAAAATTATCCAGTTGTGAACATCGGTGGCACGCTCAAAAATGATGAACCCAGAGTTAAGGCTCTGATGTAAACCACACTTAGCAAACCTACAGAACCCAGATCCTCTGCTATTCTCTCACCATTCTCCAGGGATGGGCTTTCACATGAGTGCAGAGGTGGCCCTCTCCTAATGCGCTCCACCAATGGGACTTCAGAGCAGTTATTCTTATTTGGCCCTGGGGGATCAGCCAGTACTCTAGGGATGGATGTCCCGCATACACAGTGGTTGTCTAGTCCAGCTTCAAAGAAGTGGCTGAATTTTGTCCTCCTAGCCATTACGTACCCTAGAGCATAGCTACTAATCTTTCAAACGGAGCTTCAACGTTCATGTTGGCTAGACTCAAAAGTATCTAGTTTCACCAGTTTTTGCCTGTTTCCTGCCTAATGTTCTCCCCAGCTGTACCTGGAATGCTTCCTTCTGCTGGCCCACTGGATGAGACTTTGAAACATGGGCACCAAAAGCAAAGTCTACCGGAGCATGAACACTGAAAAGCTGTGGAGTGTGTTGTAGTCTAAAAAGTGAAATAGTGAGTTGCACATGCAGCATATTCAGGTGTGACACATCTGGCTTCATTTCCCAGAGTGTAGCACATGCCCCAGTTTTACACCATTCCTCGCATTTGCGAGATTAGGTCCTGGGAACATTTCAGGCTCTTGGAGGGGGGTTCAACATATACCATTCTAAGTATCTAATTTTTGTCTCTATATTGTGAATTACTGAAAAATATAGGGGGAATAGTCATCTTTCCAGCTTACCAAAGCAGGCACAGGCAAAGGAACAGGGTTTGAGGGAAGGTATCGCCGAGATTTCCGAATGGCAAACTTCTCTGTAGGCAGTGACTTTCCTGCAATTTTCAATTTCAGACTGGGCACAGTCCTGGAAGAGTAAAAAAGGTTAAAGTCATTTTTGCTCCTCTGAATATCTGGAAAAACCCACACAAACCAAAACCAAAACAAAATAAATTTCAAAGACCGATTCATTGAGAGGTATTGACTTATAAAGACCAAACAAAATAATCTCCTGAGGAATATCACATCCAGTGAAATCTTTCTTGTAATGAACTTTGAAACTACTCAGGGTATCCGTATTTTCTCAATGTTCAAACTGCCATCTGGGTAAGAGGAAATCTGCAGTAACTAATTTATGTTTTTCTGGACCTGTGAAGGGTATCCATCCTACAGAAGGCCTGAAGGGGTTAAGGTGGCTAGGTGGGCCAATTCTGTTGCACCTGGAGGACCACCCAGGGGGGCAGGGATTAATTAGATGAGAGTCAGCTGGAGGGGAACAGGAGTGGCCTGTATAAAGCCCAGGATGGAGAGGAGAAAGCAGCTACAGGGAAGTAGTCTGCAGTGACCCCCTGGGTGAAGGGAGGCTTGTTTGGAACTATGGAGTGTAGTCTACAGTTATTCCCTGGGAGGAGGGAGTTTAGGCTGGCAAACCTGAGGCAGTGGGGAGGGGAGAGACAGAAAGATAGGAAAAGCTCAGGGGAAAAGCAGCAAGGTATAGGATACTGCAGACTTTGGCTGCAGATCAGAGGGTCACTGAGCTGGAACCCAGAATAGAAGGTAAGCCTGGGTTCCTCTACCAGCCACTGGGGAAGTTTCACAAACCAGAAGAAAGCAGACTGCCTGGGAACGTTTGCCCTGAAAGACTTCAGTGCCCGGGAAGGGGATGACCATAGCGAGCTGGCTGGAGGGCCAAGTCACAAAGAGGAAGCTGGAGCAAGAGGGGTCTCCGTGAGAGTGATCACCAAAGAAGGTTGTAGCACCTGGAAGGAGGTAATCCTCAGAGCAGCCAGGAGACAGCGCCCCTAGCAGTGAGTGGACCCATGATGACCATATAAAGCTTTTTATACAGTAAGTGGTACAGATAATCTCTTAGAATAAAGCTGTTTTAAAAATAAAACTACATTTTATAAGAGGATTTTACTGTAACTAGTTGATTAAACTGAAGCGGCAGTCAGGAATTTTTTGAGCATAAACATCAGACCCAAATTCAAGTTACAGTTCCAATAATGTGCATACACACCCCCTGGCTCACCCTCTTGGGCCTTCCATAGTTCTACCAGATGCCAAGCCCCAAGCTCACAGTTGTATTGAGGCTGTCTCCAACAGCCTTTTATCAGGACACATCTTGTAGTGAAATCTGTACAAGGCTTTCAGAAAACTCATGACAACTTTAACTACCGGGAACACTAGAAAAAAAACATGGAAAATGTTGCATGCAATAGCAGCAGCCACTTGTAGCAATGATGAAATAGAAAGTGATATTAATTCAAAGCATTTCTGGGCCAATGAGAAGTTGAAATATACTCAAGGGCTGTTGAAAGCTTTCCAACAATGTTAGTATAGTTAATGGGGAATTATTTTGAGGATCTGACACTGTATTTTATTTTCTCTCTCTCTCTCTCACATTCCCCCCCCCCCGCATCTTATTAACCCTACAGAATCAGTAAATTTTCCTCTCCACTCCCAAAACCTGATTTACATTCCTTGTTGCAAGTCACTTGAAAAGGTAAGGAATGGAATAGTGTCCTAGTTGGGACTTACTAAATCTTACCTAAACAGTTCAACTTCATTATCCCCAAAGGGTCTGTGATCATCTGGTCCAAACATACTGAGATAGGCAGCTTTCATGTAAATATAGGTTACCTACAGTGAAGAGCAAATGCTATCAACATCATCTGTACAGTAAATTGTATTCACAGCAGCACTGATTTAAAAGCCAACATGATGGTACTGTTAAGGAGGGAAACCTCTGTTGCTTTTCCTTGTAAACTCAATATTACAAAACACTTAAGAGGAGGTCAGTTTTCCAACTGAGATATGTGCATAAGACCCAGTACTTTCAAAAGAGAATACAGAAGAGCACACGTATGGTATCTTTTATTGTTTTGACTTTGCTGGGTTTGCACCAGTTTTTATTTCCATTCTATGGATACTTGTGCGTGTGCAACAAAAAAGAAGCTTCCCTCTTAAAGAGAACTAATGAGTGATTAATCACATAGGAACTCCTGAGTAATACACAGTCAAAGTGCAGGGTGCTGGAGGATGTTACAGTGAATGCCAAGGGAAGGTAGAGTATAATAATTCTTTACTTCCTGAGTGCTGCTGTAGTGGCCATCACAGCAGGGGACAGCAATTACCCTAGGACATGGAATTTACACTCAGAATGGGGTTTTCAACAATCATGCAGTATGCAACGGTTGGTTCTGTGATTGGCTGATTTCCCTGTTCTGCATAGTGACCTCCAGGAGGGGGCCAAAAGAACAGACATTTTGGCAAGCTTCAGCTTGCAGTGCTGCAGGTCATTATTGCCTCTGGTGGGAGAAGTTTTGGTGGCTGCAGAATAGGCAGAGACAAGGCCTCTCAGCCCCAGAGATCCATGACAAAGGCAAGCCTGACATTGGTTTAGACAGAAGTCATTATGCATGGATGGCTGCCCCTCTGCACAGTTGTGCTGGCCCCCAACTCTACCTCCTGGCCACTTGACTTCTGCAGGAGCTAGGACAGGGCCAATGTCCTGGTTCCATCAGCTGCTGACCAAAGAACCCAACTGAGGTGCTGCTGTCATGGGGCTCGGGTAAATGAGGAGGGAGGGAGGGAGATAGTCAGTGTCATAGAGACAACACCCCCTTCCATTTCACATGTGTTGGGCCAGATCTGCTCACAAGCGGGACTGCGTAGTCCCTTAAACCAAGGAATTTGCCCTGGTTACAGTTATTACCTAGTAGGCACCATCATGTTTAACTCTCATTACAAAACACTATCTTCCACGCTGTATTCCCAGATTACAGGACAGGTTTAGAATGTCTGCACTGCTCTCCCTCAATGCACTGTTTGCATGAGCCAGAGCAAGCCAGATTTTGTTTTACTGCCCTCACCCTGTGATGGATGTGGCTCAACCCAATTAAAATGTAACACCCAAGCTTTAGTCTCTCTTTCATTAATTACTGGTTTTCTTGTCACTTCAGCTTACCTTTGACCAATTGTTTTCTTTGCTTAGCAGGTCCGCATAGAAATAGGCCACCTTCCACTGGCGCTTGTAGGTGAAGCACCACATTAGCTCCCAGTAACACATGTGATGAAACTGCTTCCAATGCTGCTGAGCCTCACAGCACTCCTCAAACCTGCGAACCGCCTGCACAAAGGAAACGCCAAACATAACCATAATCATCGTAAGAAAGAAACAGGTTTAACAGAATATACACGTCGAATGTGTCCGTTCAGTAAACAGCACTGGGACCCAGTGCTGCTCCTGGGTGGGGAGTGCCCTCAATTCTAAGTTAATGGGAGTTAAGAGTGCTCAGCATTTCCTAGGATCAGGCAACAGGATCAGACCCTTGACTTCATACTCTCATCCTGTATTATCAAGTTTACCACCTAGAGTCCTCCTTATACCTTAATTGTATTACCTAATGCTGAGTGTAGGCAAACAGTAGAGCTGCCAGAGGAGTGTTTGTTGTGAGGGACATTAAAGTCAGAGGGGCAGATCCTCAGCTGGTGTATATATCAAAGCTCCAGTGACCTCAGCGGAGCAGTGGCAATATATACCAGCTGAGGACCTGCCCCAGAATATTTGAGACATGTAAAAAACAGCAAGAGAAGAGAATAGGACAAGTCGGTTTGCGGGGAGAGAAGTCCAAGAGCAGGCAAAGGAAAATAACTGCAGAGTGTTAAAGGCACAGTGGGCTTCAAGATGGGTTAGACAAAGTGCATTAATATTGGAGAACTGCGTTACCATCCTCAAACTGGAGTAAGAACAGCACGAGACAGTGTACCACATTCATCACTCGCACACACAGACTTGCTTAATTGTCCCGGGTTTCAGAGCCACTGCCTCAAAGTGGCCGCATAGTTAGATACCAGCTCTGCAACTAGCACTCAGCTGTAGCTGGTGGAATTTCTGCTGAGTTTAATTGAATCAGGAATTGCATTGTTCAGGATACATATAATCAGCTACTGTTTGACTGGAGTGCTCCATTCTGGGCCAACACTTCTGGCACCCTTTTCAGGACAGCAATAATGAGGGTTCTTGATTGCACATCAGCATGAAGGCCCAGCAACACTTTAAAGGGCTGTTGCAAAAACATGATTTCAAAGAAAAGGAGGACTTGTGGCACCTTAGAGACTAACCAATTTATTTGAGCATAAGCTTTCGTGAGCTACAGCTCACTTCATCGGATGCATTCAGTGGAAAATACAGTGGGGAGATTTATATACATAGAGGACATGAAACAATGGGTGTTACCATACACACTGTAATGAGAGTGATCATTTAAGGTGAGCTATTACCAGCAGGAGAGCGGGGGGGGGCAGGGGGGGGCGCGAAGGGGGAGAAACTTTTTGTAGTGATAATCAAGGTGGACGATTTCCAGCAGTTGACAAGAACGTCTTTTCTTTTTGTGAATACAAACTAACACGGTTGCTACTCTGAAACCTGTCATTATTTCAAAGGAGTTTTCGCTTGAAGTTGGGCATTTTCAAGGTAGACCTTTCAAATTAAAATGATTAAACCTTGATCCAATCAAGTGATTAAAACAAATCACAGATGGTTATTTTATGTTGTTCAATTCAATTAACTGAAAGCAGTGGGTCAAGCCATTCAGAGCAATCATCCGAATAAAATTTCTGTTTTGTTTTTATGCACTGCAAGTTTGCAGATGGATCCCATCCACACGGTTCAGCACTGGAGGTGGACTTGCCCACAGTTTAGGATAATTGGCTCTGAAGTGTCTAAATATGGTTAGAAGCCCAACGTAGGCTCCTATTTTTTTAAATCTTGGCCAGGCTTTATGACCAATAGGGCAACGTTGTTCTTGAAGGTTCTTTTCCGAGGAGAAAAGGGTTACTTACTGTATCAATATTGCCTTTTATTGTTTCTATCCTGCCCGCAAAAAACAGGAATATGGCTCCCTGTAATAAACAAACGCAACCATGAATAATTTTCATGCAGCTGATACATTCTTGCGACAAACACTAAACTAAATTAGGATTCATCTTACTTTTGGATAGCGAGCCAAGTAAGGCTTGAGTAGCTTTTCTGCCTCTTCAACGTTTCCTTTCCCTGTCCCTAGATTAGTTGAGTAAAACAATGCAAATGATGAAAAGGAATAGGAAACAATAGCCTTGAGTAATCATCATCTGGCCAATAAATAAGTTCTCCCATACAGTAGCATTTAGGTCCAAACGTAGGCGCTCATCCTGCAGCACTTCAGACAGATCAGAAGAGGGCACAAAGAAGTTGTGCTTACATGGAGGCACCGTAAAGGCAAACTAGTTCTGTGCTGGCAGAAATCTCCATGTGACATTGCTCCCTCCCTCCCTCCCCATTGCCTGGGATTCTCAATTCTGTGCAAGACAGAAAAAGAGAAGGAAAGTGAAAGTGGGCAGGATCTGATCCTGACTGCCCATTGCTTGGCTTCTGAAAGGCCACGGGAGCATCCCCCATTTCCTAATGCCATGGCAACCTTTTTAAAACATAGAACCATAAAGACTGGCACTGGACTAGGCCAGGTTTTTACTGGGCCACACTGCATGGCTTTTGCAGTTGCATAGGGCTATGAGACCAGAGTTGAGGTATCCAATGACACATTTTTCAGGTATATTTAGCAATTATTCTAAAAGCTGGTAGTATATTTGCCTAGGCCTAGCCCAAGGGGATTTTGTCAAAGAGTGCTTTAGGAGTAGGCCACGAGTGAATGTATCATTTTAATGGGAAATACGTCACCCCAAGAAGACAGCGGTGACAAATTAACATGAAAACAGGATTTAGCAAATCTTTTTACAAGGACTTAAACAAAAAAACCCAAACACTTCCAAAACAACTCACTAGACCACAGGAAGTATAACTTGTTCTTGTGACCTCTTCTTACGGCAACACCCCAACTCTCCCCTCAGGTCCCCCTCCCAAATGTCCTACTCAAGCCTCCATCTTGAAGAACAAAGCCCTTTCCACAGTGATGACAGTTATTGCAAAAATCAACCACCACAAATTATCCAACTCCGTCCAGTCCAGGTTTGAATGAACAATTCATCAACAGGTTTGCAATTTAACCACTTCTTCCCCTTGTTTCCCAGCAATAACTGATCATATGAAAGGACTATTATAGGGTTACTGTGAATAATCCTACCTAACACAAAGGTCATGAAGGTATGATAGCACAGCAGCAGCATGGTACACAGCACCGACCTAAAGCTGTACATCAATGCTCCCTCTTGAAGCTGCAACAGACCATACTCCTGTGCAAAAATCAGAGAAGGAAGACAAAGTCTTGTAAAGCAATTACAGTGCTATTTTGCTTTTCACTTCTGTAGTATCACGGGTAGCTATTCTGGTAGCTCAAACACATGGACTGCACTGTATATCTACAGCAGTGACACAAATTGTTTATGTAGTTATTAGAGGAGAACACACTTGCAAAATATCATGTGGCAGAGCAGTGACTCAGGGATAACTGGACAATTATCAGGGGAGAGCGCAATAGTGCTCACGAGTCATGAGTATCATCCAATAGAGCTAACGTCATTTCTGAAAAATAAAATACACAGAATTCTGCAGTACCTATGCAACTGGCAGATGTTACCACCATGTAATGTATCTCGGCACATCACACAGTGGTGACACGAATAGTTACTGTCAATGTAATATATATGATTTTGCCAAACACAAGTTATTGGACTCAGTATAGGTGAATGGGGTAAAATTTCATGACCTATATGATATGCAGGAGGTCAGACTAGATGATCTAATGGTCCCTTTGGGCCTTAAATTATCTGACTCTATTAACACAACATAATATAAGTTAACGCTTTAGAATGGAGGACAGGAACACTGGCATACTGGAGACTAAGTCCTCAGAGTAACTTGCTACTTGACCTTCATTTAGCCTCCCTGTGCCTCAGGTTTGTTCATCTGTACTACAGGAGTAACACTGTTCTGTTCTATTCAGGTTCTTATATAATGCCCATTGTCACTGTGGTATCTGAGTACCATAATACATCTATATCTCAGAGACACTGAGGGACATCCTTACTTAATGATAATAAAGTATGCAAGCTGGTAGGGGGGAGAGAGAGAGAGAGACAAGTATTTTAAAATTACTCTTGGAGCACTTGCCTACAACAGCAATATCAGGAAATGACAGATCCAGGCGTGTTGCAAAAAAACTTCTTCCAAATTAACTCTTGCATTATTTCTTGCAAACCACTTCTTGCCTGTTTAAGATCCAATGTAAAAAACCAACAGAGGGTTCATGAAGACTGTATATCTAGTGGACCTAGGTTGCTTATAGAAAGGCACTGTGTACATCCAAGGGGTCTTCAGTACCAAAAGCACAAGTCGCTACCACTTGAGCTAAAGAAGTAACTCCATAAATTGTCAGTAAAAATCTTGTCTATTCTCACTGAGTCAGGTCAGGCACTGAGGGAGACCAGATCATACCCACTAAGAGAGCATGTTATTCCTGATGTTGTGCGCACTCACACTACCCCCTGCAGGAGAAGCAGCACATCACAACTACGACCTGACAGCCACCAACCCAGAAATAGTGAGAATGTGTTCCCAAACAAAATCCATCTTAGGGAATGTTGCTACTGTGCAATATACACAGCTGCCCAGGCAATAGATGGGTTTTAAATATAGGATCTGTTTAATCATATTCCCCAAATAGCTAAATAACACATTAAACACAGGACAGCATGGCAAATGTTATGTCCCTATGTTATGTGGTGCATACAACATTCAATACCCTATTGATTCCCGGCCAAGTCAGCAAAATAAAAGCGAAAACGAAGACCATGCAATGTGAGGAGAACAAAGGCAGCATTCAGAAACCTCAGAATGGCTTATTCCTATTTCAGCTGGGAGTTTAACTAAACTGCATCTGCTTCCCTGAAGTGAAATTACTTGAACAACTGGTGACCTAAAGAAGAGCTCTGTGTAGCTTGAAAACTTGTCCCTTCCACCAGCAGAAACTGATCCAATACAAGACATTATCTCACCTATCTCGTGTGTGTCAGATCCTGGGACCAACATGGCTACAACAAAGCTTCACACAACAACTTTTTAACCACATTTTTTTAATTGAGGGTCTTTACAAAGAAAGCAAAACACAGAGTTGCCTTTCTTGTCTCATGACTTGGCCATGTCACCACAAGCTTATCAAATAGGATGGATATTACCATTAGCTTATCTACATAATTGATTAATTAAATTGGGCACAAAGCAGACAGAGCACTTGAATGTGTTATGCAAAATCCCTTTGGAGTTAACTTTGGCTTAGTGTTTGCAGAAGAGCGGAAAATGCCAGATAAGAGGATTTCTAAGGGGGGAATGGTAACAATTACAAATTAAGACATATGTAAAAATTGATACTCAGCACAACTGATTTGGCACAAATATCCTCCCACTTCCAAGTTGACCCCATCAGTCTAATTTCCTGCCTTCTATGTCAATAATTCTGCCATTTGACCCATTGCCAAACTGCATTTAAGACACAGAGGATTAATTTAAAACTTTATAATGGTTCAGACTAAGAACTGCTCTAAGTTAGACCAGCTGCCAATTGCCCTGAAGGGCAGCCCAGGATGTAAAGGAGCCCCAGGCATACTCTCATACACAAGAAACCCAATTGGAGGGAGTGGGGTGGAGGACATACTGGCTGATCTGTACCACCTGAGGATGCCACTACAAAGGGGAATTCTCTGGGGGCCAGATCCACTGGCTTCAGGGCATCTTTGCATCGGGGAATGATACAAGGTTGCTCTAATGCAGCTTTGGGTATGAATGTCTATAAATGCAGTATTAATAACCTACAGTAAACAAGCAGCCCTCCACACTAAGAGTGAAACATTATCCCCAAGTGTCCCAGTGCATTATGCCTCTGATTTATGCTCTCAGATAGGACTGTGATTTTGTCAACGCACAGGCCACATCTTCCTCTGAGTCTTGCCCAGCACCAAGCATTCTGACAGAATTTAAGAAATAATAAGATAATCGTCATCTTACAGTCAAAACACAGCAGGACTCAAAACTCCTTCCCTCTTGACTGTGATGCCATGAGTTACACATGCCTGTTCCCTCTCCCCTCCTACCATCTCCTGTCCTCCTTTCTATTTCTCTCACCTTGAAATGTCATGTCTGTACTCCAAGGGGCAACTTCCTCTTGCTGAGCTTTGGAAACCTGCCATGGTAAATGTGATTGCAAATGCAAGTAGCAATGCTTCTCTCAGATCTGGGCTTACGGCTCACAACCTTAAGCACCGCAAGATCTTTTTAGATTACAGTGTTACTGTCAAGGCACACCCCCCTTGAACTTTGGTCAATGGAATGTCTAAATACTCCCCTTTCTTTTGAAGGCATTTGGAACATTTTTCCTTATGTTTATGATAATTCCAGATCATGCTTCAGCCTGCTACCAACTATTTGAAACAGGAGCTGCTTACTCACTGGCACAAGGATAAACCCACACAGAGCCACATGAGAAATCCCAGGGCCTGTCCACAATCAAGAAGGAGAGATTGAATGAAAAAGGGAGAAAGTTTTCCTATATAAGATGACCGTTCATCAAGTGTCTTTACAAAAGCATGCTGATCATAGAATTGTAGGACTGGAAGGGACCTCAAGAGGTCATCTAGTCCAGTCCCCTGCACTCATGGCAGGACTAAGTATTATCTAGACCAGCAGTTCTCAAACTTTAGCAACCTGAGGACCCCCATTTTGAATTAAAATATTTCACAGACCCCCAAGTCCCCCGCTCAGCCCCAAGCCCTTCCCCCAAGGCCCCACCATTGCCCCACCTCTTCCCACCCCCACTCCACCCCTGCCCTTCCTCTTCCCCACCTCTTTCCGTCCCCCCCACCCCACAGCATGCCCCATTCCCACTCTTCCCCCTCCCTCCTGCACACCAGGGAACAGCTGTTCCCCAGCATGCAAGAGGCGTTAGGTGGGAGGAGTTGATCAGCAGGGCCGGCAGCCCCAGACATGATTCTGCCCCATCCCCCAAGCGTGCCCCATCCCCGCTCCTCCCCCTCTTCATCCCTCTCAGCAGGAATTAACATATCCTGCGCTGGGACAACAGATCTCCAGGAAAATACCTTTGATCTCTTCCTGCAGACCCACCCAAGACCCTATGAGTATGGTTGGTGAGTCCCACCCCACACTTTCTGAGTACATGCCAGGCCAGTTATTCCTGGGCATCTACTTAGGAGAATTTAGATATGTCTTTGAAGTTAATAGTTGCCATTAAAGACATAGAGAAAAGAATGGATACATAATCATATGCATGCTCTTTTAAGCTGGGTTCCACGCAGGAACAGAATCAGGGCTGTCAGGATTCTGTGATTACAGCATCTATTAAATTAGATAAATTCTCAACCTCCTTATTAAATTAACTCAATATCAACTACAAATAGTGCTTCTAAGCACTATTGCAATCCAATAAATAAATAGTAATAATCTCAACATTATACTTTGAACTGTTGCTTATCTTTCTTGTATTTTCCAAACATCATGTCACTGTCCTAAATTTTAAAATATTTACAAAGTTTGTTTTTTTTAAAAAAGACCAAGAAAAAAATCCTTGAGCAGCAGTAACGTCAGCTCCAGTAATGAAAACCCTGCAATACTCACATTTCAAAGAATGTTAGAATGGTGGGGTGGGGAATCAGATTCTAGCTGTAATGTATCAGCCACATTTATTACAATCTTATCAAATGAGTGATATTTACCTTGCTTCCAGAAAACCCAACAAACTCCAGTAATCGTAAGATCCGTGTTGGAAACATGGACAATGTCTGTGGAAAGAAACATAAATAAGCTGAGCAGTAATTGGAATTGATATTCTCCTCTCTCTCAACCCCAGGGTGTCTGATATGACCTGTCCAAACCCCAAAGGCAATCAATAAAATCATTAAAAGCCTAATTAGCTCCCCCTAAGTCTTCTTGTGTAGATGTATATTTCTCTCAGCTATTTGTTGTATCTCATGTATCCTTAAGGATTAAACAAAACTAAATCAGCCTCAGGATCACAGTAAATATGTAAACTCCTGTTTCCTAGGTAAAACTAACAGCAACTCTGGATAACACTGGTCGCTGCATTTTGCAGCATTTTAATGATTATTTCGATGGGAACTACAGAAATTAAAGGTTTGCCAGACCCATCAAGCAGGATACTTGCTATGTGTTACATGGATCAGTTTTTGGAGTCCACTAAACTGTTCCAAGAAACAGGTTCTTGTGTCAGAACAAACCAACCAACCACGAATCTGATCATGCAGACACTTACTACTGGGCACAGTTCTTATTACTCTAAGTAATCTCATTGAACTCAGGGTTAGGCCACCCGTTTGTAAAACAGGAAAACGGATACTACTCCTATATTAAAGTATACAAAAGATACACACGTGACACGGATTCACTTCTTGTTATGCAACTGCCTGTATGGTAAATACTAACTCCTACAACTAAACAATGACCTGTTTACACTAGCCTTTGAACCAAGTAGAGTGTAAATCAATGTTGCTTTTGCTGTTAACAATTGAAAAGCAAGTTTAAAATGGTCACGGCTAAAAAAAATAAAAATTATCCCCTTTTAAAAAAAGAGAGAAGGAACTATGCTTCTGGGGAAAAAAGTGACAGAGAACATCTGAGATGTATTTATACAGTATATCAAATAAATTGGGGTCCCAGTATTATGACAGCCAGTAAGGCAGTATTAATAGCAATAACCACCATTTTAGTTTGCATTCTTTCTTCTTATTATTTTAATGGGAGTCACCTTTATGCATTATGGGAAGGAGAGACACTAAAAGAACACACTAAAGGGGATGCTGTAGAAATACTCATCTATACTTTTTTAAAGAAGTATGAGAACAATTCATGCATAATCAGATTGCATCTGCTGTGACTCAGTTTTTAACTGTTGACAGTCACAGTTTACGTAACGTTTACATAAAGCTTCTCTGAGCACAGGGCTGAACACACGCAGAATCAAAATCAGACTTGCACAGAAAATATCTGGTAGTCCTGCTTCTGGCCAGTTTAGAAATCATCTTCTCATCCCAAAGCATCTTTACAGACACAGGGAGCAGTACAGCATTGCTGCTATTTATTCCTGTCCTTACCTTGTTCCTCCATTAAGTGCCACCTGGTCATGTTGCTGCAAATGATGTCCTGCCATCTAGCCAGTGGCCAGCCTCTAGGTCTGACTGACCTTGGCTGCTTCTGCATTATTTTCCTTGGCATCCTATCATCTGTTTGCCTCCTGCAGCGGTCCCCCACATTGTAATCTTTTAGATTATAGCCAATCCCCTTGATCTCAGATCCTTCTCTCCTTCTCACTTCATTTGTCTTAAAATCTTTACACCTGCCACCTTTTGAAGAACTCTCTCTCTACTGTCTCCTGCCTTCTGATGTCTGTTACCCCAACCCACAAGTGTGGCACCAAATATTGTGGAATAACGTGCTATGAATTAACTGAATCTAGCAGAAAAATTCTGATTTCAACCCTGGGCAGACAGGACTCGCTTAGCCTCTTTAGGCAAATCTGTCTAGGAGAAAGAACATTCTGATTTCAAATCTGAGCAGTGGATTAGGGTGAAAGTGCTGATGCTTCTTTCTACCATGCCAGCAGGCTATGGCATTCCCAGGAGCTGGATGGGGGGACTGGCCTAACAAGCCATTACATCCAAATCTTACTTGTTACAGTTTAAAAATACCACCAGTAAAAGCATCCTCTCTTTCACAGCATACTGGTACTTTCACTTCTGATGTGGGATGAAACCAAGACGTAGAAAAGTGCACAAAAATAATTAAACACCTGCATACCAACCCCACCTCACTGCCCACCCGCAAAAAAGTCAATTTAAACTTATGAACACTGAAAATTGTTCAGATTAGATTCTGGTTAGTTCTTATTTTAGTCAAACTGATTTGCCATCTCTGGCTGGGAGAAGTGGCAGTGATTGGGGATGGTACCTTTTGCCTGCAGGATTCCATATCAAAGGCAGTGTAGTTCAGTTCAATCACAGAGGGGTCTCAGACACATCATCTTTAAGCTTTAGGTATTGTAAACATGCAGGGAGCTCTCAGGCTGAAGACTGAGCTGTGATCAGCTCTTTCCACAGTCGAACTACTGATCACAGCTCAGGTTACTGAAATGGCCCAAGATGCTACTTTGTCCTGACCACAGTGCTAACATAGGCCCAAATCCTACAATGAACGTTGGATGGGCAGATGCTTGCACTCATGCAGAGACTCCTTGAAGTCAGCAGAGCTCCATGCAAATGCAGAGGAGTGCTTGCACACAGTAAACTGTAGGATCGTGGCCATAGCAGTTCCTCTGTATTTCTCTTTTATGTGCAGAATGTTCACCCTTCATGTTTCTTAATCACGTTAATATCTGCAGATGCTGTAAACCAGCAGAGGGCCGGCCCAGCAAATACTTGCACACTTCTAACTTCAAACATGAGCGCTTCCATTAAACACCTGCGTTCTACTGAGTTTAAGTTAAGCATGTCTGTAAGTGTTTACAGGAGGGGGGCCTTAGTGAAGACTTCTTTTACATACCAGGTTGAAAGCTCCAACTCCAAGCTTTACACCACCTTCAAAATGGAGATAGTTCTTTCCTTTAACATAGTTTGGAGACTGTATAAGACTGTCCAATTCCCTAACAATACAGAAGATAACATTACAGAATACATAGATAACCGGGTAAGTATTTAGCCCAATTCAGTTAGAAAGCTGACCAGTCATTTAGAAATATAACAATTATAGTCATAACTCTGAAGTCTCATCTAATCTAGATAGATGAAAGTAGCCAGAAGCTACTGTTAACCATGGGATGGTGGTAAAAGGTCTCATTTCTCTTTCCTATTCATTAGTACAGTAGAGAACAGCTTCTTTCTACATGTGCAAAACTTTAACAAACCAGGAGTCTAAGAAAGCATGCCATCAGTGAACATGTGAAGAGCAAATTCTTTATCATGCAAACATCAGGAAATATACCAGGATTTATGTGTACATGAACTAAGAACATCTCTTGTATTTGCAAAAATGAAGAGAGATGCCAGCTTGGTAGACTTACATGGTTGTCTTTCAAATGATGGATCTATGAACTTGTACTCTACTGTCATGAGTGCTTTAAAAAGGAGAATTCCATATACCATTAACATTTCTAGGGGAGCTGCCTGCAGTATTGTGTGGCAGGATGATGCAGCATGTTACAGAGGCAAAGAGTTCTGTGGCACCTTATAGACTAACAGACGTATTGGAGCATAAGCTTTCGTGGGCGAATACCCACTTCGTTGGATGCATGCAGTATACGTCTGTTAGTCTATAACGTGCCACAGGACTCTTTGCTGCTTTTACAGATCCAGACTAACACAGCTACCCCTCTGATGCACGTTACAGAGGACACACTGAGCTCTGTGAGTGACTTTGCTTTTGTTCTTATTTGCCTGGCTGTTTTTTCCAATAATCTAAAAAAAGTTATTCAGGCGGAAAACATAAGGCAGCACATTCATATAACAGTACAGAGGAAACAAGCTGTCTGACAAGTTGAAAGCTACTCAAGATGTGTTTGATTGGTTTTAGGACTGAGGGAGGAGGTTGGACATAAACAGCATCTGCCTGTGGAGGTGGCTCACTTGCTAGCCACCAATCAGTATTAAATCCATGTTCTCTAGGAGTGAACTGAGGAGGACCACTTATCCCAATCTGCGTGGGTTGAAAATTACTCATGCTCCTAGATTTTGAAGATAGTTATTATAGCTTACACCATGTGCCTAAGTAAATAAATAACAACAATGCTAATTGTTTGAAACACCCCCTCCCACCAGAGTCTTTTTATTGCAGAAGTGCATCTGGTATGATAATACCACAATAATTCAGGCCTACTTACCTATATGTCTGATAGCTGTTCCTGACTTTGATGCCTCCTTTGATAAAGCTAACCATGTTCTCATCCTGGTGGAAGGGAAACACATTAGCACTGAGCAATTTAAACTGCATTTGCTTTCTGGAAATTAATATATGGGAGTAAAACAAATTAAGATGAATCAGACAGGATGAGTCTCTATGGAGCAGTAAATAGCTAAGACTTAGGATTTCTTTTCTAATTTTTGTTGGATCATATCAAAGAAGTTCTGTATTAAAATCACAAATGAGTTTGATTCCCCATAGTTTAAATTCCAGGGTATTACTATTTAAGAGGTCTCTTGGTTTTTGGTCTCTTGTTTTTACTGTTTCTCGCCCTCTCTGTGTGAAACTTGCAAGCTGCTAATTGTGTTAGTACATCCTAAGACAGAGAGAGACTAAAAGCGATACTTTGTAACAACAGAAACAGCACACAGAGACTCCCTGCCCTTTTGTTGTATTTATCTCGCTTTGTTAACAATTGTGATTAAAATAGAGATAGAGGATGTATGTGGATGGAGGCTTCATGTGGATAATAAATGAATGATCAGGGAGGTGCCAACCTAAGAATCCAGTGTCGATCGGCCGAAGAAGGTGTCAAGTGGAAACAACCAGAGGACCCCCCGGAGGGCAGACTGGAATCCACCCAACAGCCTCAAGGATGGGAGACCCGAAGAACGAGATAACATCTAGCAGCACGGAGCCGTCAGGAATGTGCCATCTGCTGATTAATTCAGCAACAGCATGATGAAGCAATTCCCATAGACTGGCATAGGAAGAAATTCCTATAAAAGTGGACTCTAGAAACTGAGAACTTTGGGGTCTGATTCTGCAAACCAACTTCCAGGAGCATCAGATGAGCATCTGACAAGGCCCTGCTCCCTCCTTGTGTCAGGCCACCTGGCCAGTGGCTTAGCACAAGCAACTCTAAGGCTGGTAATTATGATAACAACCTTGCAGAACCTGTGTGTGTGTGTGTATGAATGAATGTGTGAATAAATATGAAATTGAATGGAATGTTATCGCTATAACTAACTGCTTACTAAGATTCTTTCTGTATTCACAATAAATGTGGCATTTTGCCTTATCCCCTTTAATAAGATCCTGCTGGTTTTTATTTTATTGGTATAACAGTAAATGGTTAAGACTTAGGACTTCTTTTCTAATTTTTGTTGTTTTTACGGTGTTCTAAAATATCAGATTTTTATTTTTATTTTCATGCTTTCTGTGATTAGTTGCTTTAACTCTGAGCCATGGCTCTTTAGTCTACATTAATGGCCACAGGAATAGAATAATATTGTCTCTTGTTGCTATTAGCAAAAAGTGGCACCTACAGTACAGACAGCTGTGACTGTTTTAAACGAATGAAAAGAGCTTTGAACCATTTGTCCTTCAGCACGGTTAAGGTTCAGACATTCCCTGGCTCAGCACCAGCTACGAATAGCTGACTGCCTGCACCAGATCCTGCTGGATGCAATTTGGTTTCATGAAAAACATCAGGTATGTTGGATGTGCTCTCTTTTTGTTACTGGATTTTAACGTGTTAATGGTAAGTGTGTAGCACAGCCATAAAAAGCAATGTAACAAATGCTCAGATATTGTATAACAAAACATAAGAAACATGGAATCTGCAAGATAAAATATGTAGGGGCCTTTGAGTTAAGAATTATGACTTAACCTATGAGAAACCGCTTGATAATTTTCCGTTCGTAGCTTCTTTCCTCATTTATCACTAATGGGTAATGCCACCCCACCTGTGGGATATGGAGGCAAGCTGCAGGCTCCAGGACTAAGCCCTGCCCTTCAACTCAGGCCAGCAAAAAAGTGTTTCAAAAAGCTGAAGAAACACTCCAGGAATCAAATATTAGCATCAAAGACAACAGCTTGATATAATATATGAATTAAATGTATGTTTAAATCTCCCTTTCGAGAAAAAAATCAATTTGTTACCAACTGTATTCCAGTCATTTACCATATGACACGGGTGGTCTGAATGAGGGGAGAAGCTGCTAACAGGAAGAAAATTAGCAGGCAAGAAATTTTTCATTCTGCTGCACAGCTTCTCTCCACATTCATCATTAATAGAAAGTAAGGAGTAGTGAATCAAAGAAGTGGTGGTGAGGGAGGATAAGCAGAGTTGTAATTATTATTGTAGAATTCTATTCTGGAATGGAAATTATCTCCCTTGTGCCACATTTTAAAGCAAGAATTTTGTAATTTAAGGAGCAAATCCAGTAGGGAACTTTCCTACCAAAAGAGGTCTCTGCAGAGGAATGGAAACTTATTTTGCAAAACTTCCTCAGATGAAGCTCATGCACTTGGGGGGATTCCTACTCCGTAAATAGTCCTCCAGATGCCTAGCATGTCAATTGCTGCAGGATTTTAATAATAAAAGGTGGGAGAGCTATTTCCCAGGAACCGTGGAAAGAAGAACTTACATTGAACTGAAAAGTTTCTGGAGCTTTAGCATTTTTTTCATGACAATAGCAGTGTGGTTCTTGTATAGATAGAGGAACTAATTCCAAAACCTGTCTTTCAGAGGCAAAGGTGATTGGAAAAGCCAGACACAGGCTTGTCTAATCTGTTGTCCTGATTAATCTTGACATCTGATGCTCAGGTGGGGCGTCCGATGTGCCTTTCTAAAGAATGTTGCTAGGGCTGGTTCCCACTTTTATGCAGTGCTTGGTTGTAGGACTCCAGTCAATCATTCTGGAGAAACTCTAGTGTAGCCGATATCAACAGAATTTTACAGTTGTCTTGCTTGGGTCATCACCAGTGAGGCCTCAGCTGGAGTACTGTATCTAATTCTGGGTGCCACACTTTAGAAAAGATGTGGACAAAATTGGGAGAGTCCAGAGGAGAGCAACAATGATACAAGGTTTAAAAAACCTGACCAATGAGGAAAGGTTAATAAACTAGACATGTTTAGTCTTGAGAAAAGACGAGTGAGCGGGGACCTGGTAATAGCCTTCAAATATGTTAAGGGCTGTTACAAAGAGAACAGCAAACAATTATTCTCCATGTCCAGTGAAAATAGGACTGTAGGGGAAGTTAAGCTCTGGAATATTCTTCCAAGGGAGACTGTAGAATTCCCATCATCAGAGGTTTTGAAGTACAGGTTGGACAAACACCTGTCAGGGATGGTCTAGTTTTAATTGGTCCTGCCTCAGCACAGGGGGCTCAACTTAATGACCTTTTGAGGTCCCTTCCATCCCTACAGTTCTATGATTATTATTTGTATTATGGCAACATCTAGGCCTTGGTCCCATTGTGCTGGGTACTGTACAAAAGACAGTCTGTTTCCCAAAAAGCTTTCTGTTTCCTCTCACACCAGAAATGTAATGTGACCAGATCAATGAGTGAAATTTCCTGATTGAATTCTCTTTGGATATCAAAATTTCTCAACGAGGCTAATGGAAAATCCTTGCAGAATTACACTTTCTCTTCCAATGTCCAGGCTGTAACTGTAGGTGGTCCAGGTCTGGATGAAGGAGCCCCTGCTTAAAGAGGCATGGTGTTTTCTGCAGGTGCAATGGAGGTTCCTGGGCTATCAAGTACAGAGTGCCTTTTGGGCCATTAGAGGACTATGGGGAGACCTTTTCCCTCTTTTCTGTATCCTTTATGCGACCTGTCTTGAAAGATAGCAGATTCTTCTCTGTCCAGGATATTATTTCCATTGTCACAGAGAAGCTTTGACAGCTGGCTACTCCTTATTTTTGAAAGGGATATAAACACTGATGCTTCAATCATAAACAAACATTTACATGGGAGGTAGCAGGAAACGTCCCCTATGAGCACCATAACTATCCACAATGTGGTTTCTTGCACCTTCTTTTGAAGCAGCTGGTTCTGGCCACAATTATAAATGAGATATTGGACTAAATGGACCACTGGTCTGAACTATGCAGTCATGTGTGTATGTTTTCATTCTGACAACTTTGTCAGTGTTGTATCTAAGCAAATTAAATGAATGTGGATTCTAAATTTTTGACAATTTGTCATCCATGTATGCAGTCCACCTTGTGAGACTTGCTTGAGCATGTTGGTTGTACTTACCTGCCCACAAATGGACTTTTGAAGGTGATCTGAGAAGGACATCTAATTTTGCATTGTACCCGGTAAATGGTTCTATGTCCTTAAAGGAATATCTGGAGAGTGCATTTTGAAAAATCTCATTCAGAGATGAAGCCAGTACTTGTGTCATAAATATAAAGGGAAGGGTAACCACCTTTCTGTACACAGTGCTATACAATCCCTCCAGGCCAGGGGCAAAACCCTTTCACCTGTAAATGGTAAAGAAGCTAAGGTAACCTCGCTGGCACCTGACCCAAAATGACCAATGAGGGGACAAGATACTTTCAAATCTGGATGTGTGTGTGGGGGGGGTAACAAAGGGTTCTGTCTGCCTGTGTGATGCTTTTGCTGGGAACAGATCAAAAATGCAAGCCTTCCAACTCCTGTTAAGTTAGTAAGTAATCTAGCTAGAAAATGCATTAGATTTTCTTTTGTTTAATGGCTGGTAAAATAAGCTGTGCTGGAGGGAATGTATATTCCTGTTTTTGTATCTTTTTGTAACTTAAGGTTTTGCCTAGAGGGATTCTCTATGTTTTGTATCTGATTACCCTGTAAGGTATTTACATCCTGATTTTACAGAGGTGATTCTTTTACCTTTTCTTTAAATTAAAATTCTTCTTTTAAGAACCTGATTGATTTTTCATTGTTCTTAAGATCCAATGGTTTGGGTCTGTGTTCACCTGTACCAATTGGTGAGGATTATTATCAAGCCTTCCCCAGGAAAGGGGGTGTAGGGCTTGGGGGGATATTTTGGGGGAAGACATCTCCAAGTGGGCTCTTTCCCTGTTCTTTGTTTAAAACGCTTGGTGGTGGCAGCATACTGTTCAAGGACAAGGCAAAGTTTGTACCTTGGGAAAGTTTTTAACCTAAGCTGGTAAGAATAAGTTTGGGGGTCTTTCATGCAGGTACCCACATCTGTACCCTAGAGTTTAGAGTGGGGAAGGAACCTTGACAACTTGGCACCAGCAATCCTACCTGTAGGAGATAATTGGCTAGAAATGACCACTGCCAGGAAATGAATGATACAATGATGTTTTGGATCTTTGCAAATCTTTACCATGGTAGGAAAATTATGGCCAGAGCCAAGTAGTTTTGACCCATGGGTGAGCAATTTTCTGCATTGGGTTCAAAAAGTTCTTCTCGATTTTTTGAACCACCAGTGGGTATGTATCCTTTCCAGCAGCTGGCATATTATGAATTGGTCTATTTCTCTCAACAGGGTACCAATTGGCATGCTGTCCATGAATGGGTATGGAGCCTTCCACAGGGGATCAGAGATTTCAGGAGGCGGTCAAGGCCCTACAAGTCTCTCCAACTCAAAGCTCATATTCTGGCAGCACAAGGGTCAGTGGGGTATACCAGGCCCAGTGAGGCGCCTAAGAAGCTGCCCAGAACAACTCACACACTTGGCTCTGTGTTTGCTGCTGCAGTGAAGGGCAGAGGGAGCTCACTTCAGAGGTGCTGTACCAGAGAAACCAGAGGGTGAGAGCGTCTATACTCCAGAGATTCTTCATCTCAGGAGAGGGAAAGAGGAGCTAGATGCTGAAATGAAGTCACTACTGCACAAAAATAAATAGAAATTAAAAGTTAGAAAACAAAATTGCTAGAAGAAACTGAACTGCCAACTTGGTGTGCTGCTGGGGGCAGAAAATCTGGTAGCTTGATCTGAAGGGCAGGACTTAGTCCCAGAGTCTCCATCAACAATACTGAACCACCTGCAAATTCCACACTGAGGGGCATTATACATTAGCGATAGATGAGAGAGAAGCTGTGCAGTATAAATGAGTGTGTCACTCCTGGTATGATAATATGTCCCCAGAGAGTTTAATCCAAATCATGGTGCAGCAAATGCTCACAGAACAATGTGCCCCTGTTTACTTTCGTTCCATAGAGCAAATGTTTATTTCCATCATTCAGCTGGAGGGTTCCACAGGGCGTCATACATACTAGTTTAAAGGCTGCTTCCTGTTTAGCAGTTGGGGGAAGGTTTCAGAAACAGGACATTTACTTCAGTTTCAGCCCAGAAATTCAGAAAAGTCACATTTGCTAAGAATGAAAAGAACCAATGCTACAAGAGATGCCTGAATATCAACCTCCCTAGGGAAACCCTGAGGCTGATTTGAGAAAGCAGTTGCTGACTGGCACCCATGCGCTACGTATTTTTCCTGAATTCAGTTCTAATCATAGAAAGGAACAAATGCTATGAAAAGCCTTTGAACTGTCAGCACAGTAAAAGCTGTGTTATCTGGCACTTTACCAACTGGAAAGCTCTAGAAGCTGGCATTTCTGATATCTCCCAATGCAAATCTTCACAGGGATGCCAAGTGTCCGGTTTTCGACCAGAACACCCAGTCAAAAAGTGACCCTAGCAGCTCCGGTCAGCACTGCACACTGGGCCATTAAAAGTCCAGTTGTTGCAGGGCTGGCAGGCTCTACCTGGCTCCTCATGGCTCCCCAGAAGTGACAACATGTCCCTGCTGCTCCTAGACGGTGGAACGGCCACGGGGCTCCATATGCTGCCCCCACCCAGAGTGCTGGCTCTGCAGCTCCTATTGGCCGGTAGCTGTGGGGGCAGTGCCTGTGGGCGGAGGCAGTGCGCAGAGCTGCCTGGCTGCACCTCCACCTAGGAACAGCAGGGACATGTTGCCACTTGTAGGGAGTTGCCCGAGTTGAGCGCCGCCAGAATCCGGTACCCCGAAGCCCCTCCCACGCCCTACTCCCTGCCCCAAGCCCCCTCCCACCCCCAAACTCTCTACCTGAGCCACACCCCGCACTTCCTCTCCCGCCCCAACCCCCAGCCTTGAGCCCCCTCCCACACTCAAACTCCCTCCCTCCATTGGCAAGTATAACTCTTACTTAACCAGAATTTTTGACTAACTGGAACCCCCCATTCCCCCAACATGCCAGATAACAAAGCTTTTACTGTAGTTTGTACTTCCTGGGAAAAGGGCAAAGTGGCTTTTTACAGTGTTTTGGTAATCTTCATTAAGCATCTGAAGTAATCACTTTAAAAACTCTTAGTAAGTATAAGAGGTAAAGCACCTTCATTTAATTTTTAGATCTAGCTCTTGCTTCCATGAAAAATTAAAAGGCTAGAACAGAAAATGAATGATGTCTTGCGCATCCCACCCTAAGCAACACTGCACAGACATGTTGTGAGAAGAGGGAGCACATGAACAGGGCCTTCTTTATGCGTAGGAGACAGAAGAAGTTATGTCCTTTCTCTTAAGTTTCTTATGGATGCATGAATGGTTTTAAAAAGAAATGTACCATTTAAGGCCAACAGAGCTGCCATAAATGTCCCTCTCCTAAGATACTAAGAACACTACCAGCACTATGTAGTGCCTTTCAGCCACAGATATCAAATCAGTTTATGAAGCTGGTAAATTTGATTATCTCCTCTTCACAGATGGGGAGGCAGAGAGAATAAGTGACTTGTCCACCGCACTATGGGAAGCAACTGAGTCAGGAATAGAAATTAAGAACTGCAACTCTCATTCACCTGCTTTAACCACAGACTGAAGTTCAGCTGAAAGCTGCTGATGTTATCTCATGGGGCAAGCCAAACTTTTATACTCTAAGCAAAAGATACACGGAGAAAGAGAGAGGGAATGCTTTTTCTCCCAGAACACAAATCCGCACTGTCTAGTAACAACAGTGGAACATCCAGAGGAGATAGCCCTTCAAGAACAACCTTGTTAAAGTAGATTCATTACTTTGATCACTCACTGGATTTTGGGAGAAGCAGAGGAACAAGCTCCCCTGCATGCTACAGCTCCAATGACCTTTGTTCCTCTTCCATGCTACCCCATCCCCATTCATACACTTACCACACTTACTGAAGTGACCTTCCACCCAGTCAAAGAACGTGAGGACAACTGCTTTCCAAGCACCTCAGCATCACTCCTAAGTCATGCAGAGGGGGTGCTGGAGAGAGCTGCAAGGTGTTTCCTCCACACAGACTGCAGCTGCCTCCATGGCACTTTGAGACCAAGAAGTAAGGCCCACATCTTAGGCACCTAATTCCTATTGATTTCAAAGGAAGTTAGGTGCCTAAATACCCTGGAGGATGTGGGCCCAGAAACTTGGTCCAGTAAACTGGACCTGGGTCACTTGCACGGGTGTATGAAAATGTGCACTTTTATGTCCCACATAAAGATTTCCATCTGTATGCAACTGATTTTCAAAACCTCTGTTCCCCTCCTGCTTTCATGAAACAGCCATAACGGCTGGTACTGTACCTGCAGAAATGTGAGAGCCGCTCTCTGAAGCAAGCATTCAGCATAGCAAACTTCGGCATGAATTTCCTCTAGTGTGAAAGGGAGGAGAGGGAAAAGACACAATCAGACAACAGATTAATTAAAGAAGTAGTATTATACCCCCAAATAGGAAAACAGAATACAATAAATGCAAAGGGTGAGAAAACCTCAAAAAGAAAATCTGATCACAGAGTTTGTTTCTTTCAGGTTGTTGAACTAACCCCAAGTGATAGTAACACAAAATTGTTACCAAGTGGCTGCTCGGTGGCTATATGAAACGATCAGCCCAGATCTTGGCAGACAGGGGTCTAGAATACAGTGGTTATCACCAGAAATTGTAGCAGTCTCAGCAGAGAAATAAGGATGAAGGCTCTATTCAACAAAGCAAGTACTTAATTTTAAGCATATAAATCATCCCATCCCTATCCACCGAGGCATTTAAACGAAGGTGCTATACTGCATAGGGATGGGATAAGTCACATACTGAAGGTCAAGCATGTATTTAAGTGCTTTGCTGAACGAGGACCCACATGGGCACGGAGATCAATCTGTTGTCACCCTAGAAGAGTTACCTCCAAGCCAAGGAGAGGCACTTTGGTAAGATGGCATAAGCAAGCTTGCTTTGCCCCACTTGAATTCTAATCCTGGTTCTGCCACTCCTGTACTGAGCAGGGAATGTGTTTGTATGATTTATTAATTCTGTATGAGATTACGAACCCTGTGTGTCTGTGTCAGGCTGCACACTCCATTCTGAATATGCAGCCTTTTGCCTTCTCTCTGCTGTTTGTCTCCATGTTGGGTTGAACATTCCAAAGGCTGGTAGCAAAAGAACAATAGAGGGTACCCAATCATTGGAAATCTATTCACATTAGACAAAAGAATGATCCTTGCCCAGAAAAACTAGTTTAGCAGGGGGCAAGTCACTTTGGCAACAAAGTCACCAGACAGGAGTTTGTGCTCATGAGGGGAACTGGCAAAGGTGTCACCTGACACAGGGCACTGAAGGTTTTTAAAAGGGTAGAGGCTAGTCTGCTTAGTGGCCAGCCATGTTCTCCAGTTCATGAGGGAGCAACCACTCACCATGTAACAGTCTGCATGAGTCAGGGGACACCATCCCTGCCTAGATCCACAGCTCCCAAGGGAAGGGTAAAATAGAAAGTGAGGGATATTGCCGCTTCAGAAGTTTATTATTTTGTATGATCGGTACCTGTCCGTGCTTTACATGATTAAGGATAAAAAAGCATAAAGGTGTTAGACTTGGCAGAGTGCGGGTGTTGACTGCTTCACAACTAGTGTGTGCCCCTAAGAGAATTAAACTATAAATGAGAAGTTTCTCATCTCTGGGGAGTAGTTCTGGGGGAGGGGTGTGTTTAAGTCTTGGGGAGTGTGACGGGTCAGCACTGAACTTAGAGGGGCTAAGCAGCTGGACAGTAGGTTCTGACACTCGGAGGTGGTGCCAGATAGAAGATCAGCACCCTGAGAGTGTGCCTAGGGACCCTGAGAGTGGGGCAGTGGCTAGACTCCATTCAGGCTCCAGGAGCTCGAAATACCCAGCAATCCAGCACCGCAGAGGCTTGGATTCCCCTCCCAGCCCTCCTAGTGAGTGGCCAGGAAGGGGCACTGACTAGAATCTGTGACAACTAGTCTTCGATTGAGCATTTCGTTTCTGTGCCGCCGCTTCCCCCTCTGTATAACGGGGATAACACCACCAACTTGCCTCACCCGGGGGGGCGGGGGGTTGTGAGAATTAGTTAATGTTAATACAGTGCTTTGAAAACAAAGTGCTATCACTGCTAAACACCTATTGCTGTGAGGTTGTAGCAGCATCAAACATGGGCCAGCAAGACAGCAGCACAAAGACAGAGGCTGCAGACATATCATCTCTTCTGCCCTTTTCTCCTGGGGCCACACAAGGCAAGACCTTTCATTTAGGGGTGGGGGTGTGAAAGGGCAAAGAAAAAGGAGCTAGGGAAGAGGTGTGTGAACCACTCCTGAGCACTTCCCCTCTATTCAGGGCAGTCGTCCTGAGCACCAACTTCCAGGGGCACCAGATCAACAGATGGAGGGGGCGGGAGGGTGCCATATCACTCAGCAATTTTGTTTTGTTCTGTTTGTTTTGGGGGGGGGGTGTCTTTTTTCCTCCCCCCCCCCCAGCTGCTTGTGTGGGGCAGCCAAAAACATTTTCCATCCTGGGTTGCAAAGCACATAGGTCAGCCCTGCATCAATCAACAGATTCGTAGGGTGGCATTAACGGAGGTCTTGAGGGAAGAGCTTTATTTTGTGCCCCTCCCACCCCAGGCTGAAGGCTATAATGATGCACAACAACAACTGGACAGAGGATGGTCACACACGATAAAAACGGCAGTGGCTCCAGAGTGAACATGTGGGCTATGCCCACTTTAAGCTCTTGAGCCAACCACCTCACAAAATACAGAATTAATACAAAGAAAGAAAGAAAATACCACATCTGAATGCTGGGGAACTGGATCTTATACAAGAAGAGCCCAAAGAGCTGAAATGCTGGTTTCGGTTTTGGAAATGGATCATTGAATACTACAATCTTACTTTAATTGCCTGCACGGTCCAACATACGTAGCTCTACGGAACACAAGCTCACATATTAAATGTAGTCCAACCCAAGGCTGAGTCGCCTTAATGTACTTCCTTCAGAGATCACGTTCAGCTTGTTTTGCGCAGTATTATGGTGTTGCCAACTCTCTAGATTTATTCATGAGTCTTGTGATATTTGGTGCAGGGATTTTAAGCTCAGGCTCCTGGAGTCATGCGGGAATCTCAGGGTTTCCTTTGTTTTTGTTTTTTTTTCATTATTAAGTTTCTAGCTCTTGTGATTATGGAGAAAAGTCTGAAAATTTGATCTGAGTGCACTCTAAAGGCTCAGAAACCAGAAGACAAATAAGAATCCCAATATTAGTATTCTTTAGTATATGTCATTATTTTTATGCCCATCTCATGATTTTTTGATACTTAACTCATGCTTTTTACATATGTAGGGGTGGCAAGCCTGTAATTACTTTCCACCTCCCACCCTTACGAGTTGATTCCTCTGATAGTCATGAGATCCTGTTCAGCAAATTATTAGCAGGTTAAACTATTTTGCGAGTGCCTGTCTACACTGACTGAAATACACACACACTCTTGCTTCTGTGACCAAATATAACCCAAGTGACGGACAAGATCATGAAAAAAAAATAATTTAGTATGATGTCCCTCCTAGATCTTGCGTAATAGTGCTAAGCTGTTTTAATCGCATGAACCTATCTCATTTAGTCCAACTGTGCATCATGCCCTTGATTAGTTGTTATAGTGTACTGTCTTTGCATACATTCACGTTTTTATTATCAAGGAAATGACCGTTTTTTAATAAAGAAAGAGATCCAACAGAGCATTACGTAACCATTTAAATTCAATTACTCAGCTACATGGACGGTGTTGCCCAGATGCAAACAAGCTAGAACTTGTACATTGCTATATGGAATTGGAATTACACGGTGTAATGAAACTGATGTCAGAGAACCAGCTCCCAGCGGGATTAGCAAATTTCAGATTTTATACATTTTCAATAAATACATTCATAGGAGCAAATGGCCACTCCTGGTCCCAAAAGAGCAGAAAACCCTGGCCATCACTAAACCTCTCCAAGACTCATCCTGCCCTGTGCACAAGTGCATATAAGAAAATATTGGCTTTGCAGCACGTCTGGAGGTTAACAGGCTCAAGCAGACTAAGATTTGAGGGATCCTCATGGAGAGTGCCTTGCTAGCAGGTCCCTCTCAATTAAAACAAGGCTGTTTCAGTTCGAGAGTCTCCACTGATTCCCACTTTGGCAATATCACACAGAGAGAGAGGCAATTTCTCCCAGAGGTGACACCCAACATCTTGAATTCCACCCAAAAGCCTACAGGCATCCAGTGGTAAGTGTCTGAAAAGATCCCAAACACCACCCACCATCACCATTGAATCTGTAAAGTTAGCCCTGCAAATTCCCATCAGTGAAAGGCACAGGGAAAAAAAAAACCCAAACATTACATGAGCCAGATGGAACCTTACCTTCAGTGAAGTGTTCGAGGTTTTGTCTATGCACAAGGTTATTAAAAGAATCAGCTACAGTCGATTTCTTCCTAAACCTAATGGGGAAGAAAAACAAGTCTGGTCATTCTTAACAAGAAGGGGAATCACTGAAAAACTTATACCATTTACCTGGCTTTCCACACTGCCACAAACACACCTCCACTCCAGCTTGCACCCACGCACTGTTATCTCACCTTTTATGTTGTAAATTGCACCAGAAATCTGCTAGTCTCCTTATTATGGCCATTATCAGGCCATCAGGCCATGTATCAGGCCATTATTTTCATACAGATGTAACACCTCAAAGCAAACTTGGATGACAATGAAAACTTCAGCACTAAACATCTGCTAAAATAGGACGGATTCTGACTTGCATTGAAGATCTCCTTATTCTGTGACTAGTCCTATTGACTTCAATGGGACTACACGTGGAGTAGTTACATCGGCTTTGGGGTACTGTATTGCTGCCCATCACTGTGGTGTCTGAAACCCTTCTGTGCAAAATGGATTAGGTACTTTTCTATTGCCACAGGACTTCACAGGGTCCATTTCTTAAGCCTGGAAAGCTGTCCTTGGGATAGGGGCTTTTTGCCTGGTTGTTTGTGTGTAGCGAAAGGAGAGCTGTGTGTTGTTCTGATTATGCTGGAACTACCTTCAAACAGGAAGGTTTTGCAGTGTTCTCTAAAAGCAATCAGATTCTAGATTCATCTACTCTTCAAATGCATTCTGCAGCTTGAGCCTGTCAATGAAAAAGGCTTTTCTCCAACTCTTATGTGATTCATTCTGGGCTTTGTGACCTGTGTAGTCTCACAGAAGTGCAACTGTCATGACAATTCATAGACGGAGATATGAATCAGCTAACATGGGCCAGCCATGGGTGTTTAACTGCAGTGTAGACATACCCTAATGTAACTGAGATCTGATTAATTGATCTGGTTAGTCGTGAAGTGCTACTCATGGTGAGTAAGGATATCAGAATTTGTCTCTATTGAAGCCAACACAACCAAGAAGATTGTCCTCAAAATAAAGGGCCTCAATTCCCTAAGAAAACCCCTCAGAGAAAACGTGCTAACAGACGCCTTTCAGCATGCCTGAATTTCAATAGAAACTGAGGGCTCTGAAGACCTTGCAGAATTAGCCCAGAGGTTGCCATAATTGCCTACTAACACCTTCACATTAATCTTTCCCAAAAAGGAAGATTAGTGATGAGAGATTGTTAGTGACAAGAGAAGGTTTCATAAGCAAGAGCCTAACAATCGCTTCCAATAAGGCCCCACTGTCTCTCCCTCTGGATTTCACCATCTCAGGAGCTCACTCATTGAAAAGGCAGCCCATCGCATGAAAGTTTCCATGTATTTCCAAAAAAACACAGTAACCTATCTTGGCTAAAGCCCAAGAAGAGAAGATTTCACATTTGTTCTTGCCATGCAAACCTCTGCCAGTATTCAGGCTGACAATCTGATCTCAATCTAAGAGATCTTGGGCCATTTGAGTTATTGACCTACATTTCAACCATTAACTCACTCAGTACTTCTCCCTTGTTCCCTTCACTGAAACAACAATTGGGATTAGACACAGTGAAAATTGTGTAAATAAAGAAACTATCTGTTAATATGCAATAATTTGCTAAACTTTCAATTTATTCATTTTTCTTTTTGTAGTGAAATTTGAAATTACCCTGCAGTACCAGAATAACACCAGTAAATTACAAAAGAAAATGAATTCAAACAGAAGACCTATATTCATTCAGCTAGTTTGAAGAATACTGTTTATCAGCAGTATACTGGTCAATAACAATACTAAGTAACCCTCACAAACTCATACAAAATAAGGTAGAAAAGTCTTACTCCATGAAATAGTTTAAAAACATTTTGTGCTAATCCATGTTTCATTAATAACATAATTGGCCACATTTGGCTGTTCATTGTGGTTTGGCTTTGAATCTATAATGAATAGCTATTTGTACTTATGTTTATTACAAGGGCAGCATTTATCAGAGCTGATGAATGGAGAGACAGGCACTTAAATGAATATGGAGGTGAATAAAGTGCAGCAACAGGACACAGTTGTACATGCTGCCACCCTGTCTTCTCCTTGCATGCTGTCCACTAATAGGAGGAAATGTAAACCACATGTAGTATTGCCAACCTCAAGAGATCAAAAATCATGAGTCAGACCCCCACCCCCCAAAATCATGAGATTTTAAAAACTCCAGCTAATCATGATTTATATAGTCTGTTGCTTGACTTTTTCATTACACTCTACTTCTCTGCCAATGTGTGAGAGATCATTCCAGGTTGAAAAGCCAATCTTTAATGCTCACAAAAATGCACGCCTCTCCATCTGCTCCGATGGAGACTCCCCTTTCCCTAAGGGCTTGTGTACACTTACCAGGGGATCGATGTGCAGTGATTGATGCACTGGCGGTCAATTTAGTGGGTCTAGTGAAGATCCACTAAATTGACCACAGATCGCTCTCCTGTTGACTCCTGTACTCCACTTGCATAATGTGGACCCCGCCATAAGCAGATCTAAGCTATGTTGATTTGAGTTACGCTAATCACATAACTCAAATTGTGTAGCTAAGATCGACTTTTTCCTTTAGAGTAGACAAGGCTTAAAACAGCAATAGGAAACGGATGGCAGTTCCCCTATCTTGACTCTCTCCTGTCCTAGTTTATTTGCTTTGATAAAAAGGAGGACTGGATGGTAAATAGTTTGAGTACCATTGACCTAATTAATGCATCATGATTCACACTCAGCACACAGAACTTATATTACTTTATCAGGTTGATGAGTTACAGATATTCACATTAAAGACCTTTATATTAACTCCCGCTTTCCCAGTTTAGCTGTTGAGTAAACTCACATGTTTATAGAAAAGGAGTACTTGTGGCACCTTAGAGACTAACCAATTTATTTGAGCATAAGCTTTCGTGAGCTACAGCTCACTTCATCGGATGCAATCCGATGAAGTGAGCTGTAGCTCACGAAAGCTTATGCTCAAATAAATTGGTTAGTCTCTAAGGTGCCACAAGTCCTCCTTTTCTTTTTGCGAATACAGACTAACAGGGCTGTTACTCTGAAACCTGTTGCATGTTTATGTAGTCCTGCAATAAAAGAACAGATGACGGATTCACAAATAAGCATGAAATAACTAATCAGTGTTAGCAAATGGGCAGCTATCCAGTGAGCAGCCCCCTCAGGAGCAGAGTTATATAATCCCTTTCATTAAATATTTCAGAAAAATTAAGTATTGAAAGTATTTGTAATATTCCATAATGACAGTGTTTCTATACAAAACCTTACTGTCAGAGATCCTAGAGACCATCCCTTCATGGCCATCCACTAGGACGGCTAGGAGGGGACTCCAAGCCTTTGCTGCTGTAGATCCCCGGGATGTATTAAGCATTTGGAGCCTCAATGGAGTCCAGCCACTGCCCAAATCTTGAGGTCCCTAAGCACACTCTCAGGGCACAGACTTTCCATCTGGCACCTCCATTCTGAGCGTTGGAACCTGCTGTCCAGCCACGCTAGCCCCTCTGGGCACATCCCTGACTCCTCATTACTTAAACACACTGCTCTCCCAGAACTCTGCCCAACAGCTGGAGAGCTTCTGGTTTACAATTTAACTCCGTTAGGGGTGTGCAGTAGCTGTGCAGTCACATACATACACACACACACACACCAACTTTAAAAAGTGCCAGGGGGTGCTCAAGCCCCACACCGCCTCTTCCCGCCCCCACACCGCCTCTTCCCGACCAGTTCCGCCCCCTCCCCTGAACGCACCGCGTCCTCGCTCCTCCCCTCTCAGCATCCTGCACGCCGTGAAACAGGTGATTGTGGTGGCTGGGAGGCACTGATACATGGGGCCTGCTGTTGGGTGGGAGGCACTAGGGAGGGAGGGAGTTGATGGGGGGCTGCCGGTGGGTGCTCAGCACCCACCATTTTTTCCCCATGGGTGCTCCAGCCCCGGAGCACCCAAGAAGTTGAAGCCTATGTGCACAGACACACACCACGTTCAATCTATCAATTTTAGGCTATTTTCTCCTTAATTATACAAAGCACAGGAGAGTACAGATCATAAAAACAATAAAACACCCTAAACACAGTGTCCCTCACTAGCTCATCTCCCTTGGGAGATCATCTGTGTTCAGTCAGTCAGGGTCTTTTATCGTATTGTCTACCCTGCTCCTGCAGCAGCCGCCCTCATCCTACTCTGGTGCAAGATAGCTCTCTCCTCCAGTTTCCATTTCCACCTGAGAGTCCCTTTATAGACTCCTGCTGGGGACATCTGCCTCTTTTGTTCTCCTCCTGGTAACTTTCCATTACTTCCAAACTCCCCTTCTGCCTTCAGATAAATGGAGGAAGGGTCTTCATCCAGCTAGAGTAAATCCTTTATGTGATGATCATTCACCATTGTCTTTGGCCTGCCTGGCAGGGACATGATACAACCCTGCTAATGTAGCATTGCTGTAGCCGTGAAGGTCCCAGGATATGAGAGAGATAAGGCGGGTGAAGTAATATCTTTTATGGGACCAATTTCTGCAGTGAGAGAGACATGCTTTTGAGCTACACAGAGCTCTTCTTCAATTCCTGGGGGATCCACATACATATAGGCTTTCCACGGCACAGTGATTTCATGATGCAATTTCATAAAATCATCCACAATTCGGAAGTGGTACAGACAGAATCCCCAGTTCCTCACACTTATATTCATCATTCATATAAGCAATGTCACAGTAAAAACAATGGGATTGGTTTAGCTTTTTGCATGAAGCAACACTTCCTTGACTCTGCCTCCATCCCGCACTTCCGTCCTGCCTCCTCCTGCTCTGGACCCACCACAATCCCCTCCCCATCCCTCTCTTCTGCTCCCAAAGTCTGCCCCTGCTCCCCCACACTCTCCCCATCCACCCTTCAGTGTCTCTGTTGCTCCTCACAGTCCCTGACTGCGTCCTGTCCAGCCCCCGACCCATAGAGTGGCAGCCATTTTGCCTATAGGCCTGGCTTCAGCTCAACTGAAAACAACAAGGGGCAGCAGCCTACTTTATATAGGGCTGCCTCACATCCACGTGCAGATAGATCGTAGGGAAGTGGCGGCCATCTTGCTGGTGTCGGCCCCACTGACAGTAATAGGAGATGGTGGCTATTTTGAATAAGGGAAAATTTGTGAGTTGGTGCCTTGCATCATGTTTTCACGAGACAGCTAAAAGCCACCCCAAAATCACTAGAGTCACGATAAAATCATGGGAGTTGGCAGTACTGCACATGTCCTTCCTTCATCTACAAATCTGTCATGACTTCTCAGAGCTTCAACTGCCCAATGTACTTCTCCATACTTACTTTTGACAGGTGGCTTGAGCTTCTTTCATTGTGTTTCCTGCATTCAGCATGTCCTGGGCATCAAAGGTCATCATGGCTTGCATTTCCAGTATGGTAGCATGTGTCAGTGCGTGATACATACTGTCCTTAGTTCTGTTTATTAAAAAAAAAAAAAAGACATGAGTGCAGGTGACAAATTTAGCACAAGATTAATTTTCAAAAAAAGCAACACTCTAGGGGCATATTAATCTGATGGGGACTCAGGTCTAAACAAATGTGCTAGTAATCAAGCACAATATGGTACGTACAAAGGATTAATTTTTGCTGGAAAATACAAACACTCTGTATATGGCCTACATTCATATTTGTGCATCAAGTCATTCTTCTGTCTATAATTTTAATAGCTATGCTAAGATACTACAATGAAGATGCCTAAAATGTGTCAGTGGAAGTTTTGGGTGCCCAAGGGATGTAGGATTAGGCTCTGAAGTTTCTTTTGTTTTGGGATAACTGTTTTTGCATGAGTTCTCCACTGAGCACCATGATGTGTGCTGCAAGCTGAGACAATTTCCTTCTACTTTGGGAGAGTTACACAGAATAATCAAGATGATGAGTAATGTGATAACACAATTATAGCCAAAGAACATTTAACATGAAACTAACCTTACTTTCAAAACTGTTACAGACTTGGTCAAATGTCTCAGCCTTTCACTCCTATGTCTGTATTCCCACCTTTCACCCTCAATTTGTCCAACTTGAATACACTTCCCAAACCACAGACACTGTGGGATTTCACATGGCCCTTTATAAGGCATTTTTTCAATCCTTTAATTATTCTCATGTCTCTTCTCTGAACTGTCTCCAATTTTTCAACAACCTTCCTGATGTGTACAAACCCGAACTGGACACCATATTCCAGTAGCAGTCAAACCTGTACCAAATATGGAGGTAATATAATCTCTCCACAACTATTTGATATTCCCATTTATACATCAATGGATTGCATTAGCCCTTTTAGCCACAGGGTTGCACTGGGAGCTCATGTTCTTCTGATTATCCATCTTGACCCTCAAGTTTTTTTCGCCCAGAGTCCCTACTTCCCAGGAGAGAGATCCCCATTCTGTAAGTGTGGCCTCCACACTCTGTTCCTGGAGATAGGACTCTACATTTGGCTGTATTTAAACACATTTTTTGCTTGCACCTAGCTTACCAGGTGAAGCGCCTCGCTCTGTATCAATGACTTAATGTTCTTCCTTATTTACCACTCCCCAAATCTTTGTGTGATCTGCAAACTTTATCAATTTATGTTTTCTTCCAGGTCACTAATAAAAATATTAAATAGCATAGAGCCAAGAAATGATTCCTGGAGGCATCCTCAATACATACATACATTTAATGATGACTACCCATTTACAATTATATTTTGAGACCTACTGATAGGGAAAAAATCCCCAGAAAACGACCCTATAATCATGTAAAGCTACGCTGCTGTCTTTTTTCTATGCTTATCTGTCCTTTCTACTTTGTTTATGGATAGAAAGAATGTGAACTGTGTGTAACCTGCACTCCCTGCTTTTGGGGAGAGAATTCCTTATACAGATAAGCCTCCATGCTCGTACCTACCCCAGAACTTCAAACAGACTGGGTTAACCGGTTCGAACTGGAAGAGATATCACAATGTATGTTGAACCAAGCTATAAAAGCTCATCCCTGTTCTTTGTTCGGGGCTTCACCATTTTCCTCTGAAAAGGAATTGGTGAGCCCTTCAGCTGTCGTATTTGCTAGCAATAAAGTGCCTCACTTTATCAAAGAGCCAAGACTCTGTGTTTTGTTTGGCTAATACAGAAGTCCAGGGAAGGCTACCCTCCTAACCCTAGACGGGAGGGGAACCCTTTTTCCCTAACACTACCAACTAGCCGTTCTTTTTTCTATAAATTAATTTTTAAAATATATTCAGAGGATGTGATGGAGATTCCCACAACTGAGCCATTCTTTTTAGGTAGCAAATCTGAGGAACTATCCCAGATTGAGGTGTCCATAGAAGTGGTTTTGGAACAAACTGATAAATTAAGTAGTAATAAGTCATCAGGACCAGGTGGTATTCACCCAAAAGTTCTGAAGGAACTCAAATATGAAATTGTAGAACTACTAACTGTGGCCGTGTTTTCCCTAGGAATTGAAATTGGGGGTGGGGGGTGTTGGAATATTCAGGGGGGATGAAGGCCAACGAGGGTTGAGAACGTGAGGGCGAAGGTGGGCTGTACGGCAAAAGAGTAAAAACTAAAAAATATTTCACGACCATTTTATTAGATTTAACTCATATTTTAAAACCTTCACAAAAATTAAAGTTGGCTGCTCAAGCCTACTATGGAGCACTATAAAAAATGGTTTGGTGTCTGACATACCATCGTAGGATGTCCTACAACACAGCCTCTAACAAGACCAGGCTGTCCCACACACCAGGTAACAGGTAACAGGATTGTTTACCTTTACACTGAGAAAGTTGGCAAGGCACCAACATCTGCATGTGGTGTGTGTCCAGGAAGACTTCACTGTGTTCATGCTGTGCACCCTAAAGTCCTTCTGAAGTTGTCAAAAACAAAGAAGCGTGTTAGCAGAGCCTAATGGCAGTTCCATGTGTGCTAAATGTGTCCGTGACAGAATCAAACGAGCTTTCCTTATTGAGGAGCAGAAGATTGTTGTGAAAGTATTGAAGGCACAAGCACAGAGTCGGAAATCTAAGTGAATCTCTTTGTATTGTCTGCCTAATAAATAAAAATTCAACTTAAAAAAAAAATAAAAATTTAAAAAAACGAAGCACTATATCTACAGCTTTCTTGGTTTCTTGTTGTAATTTTGCACGTTTCATGTCTTCTTGTGTGTCCGGTACTTCCAGTCCTTCATGATATGTTCATGGTCACCCCATCTCAAAAAAGATATACTGGAATTGGAAAAGGTTCAGAGAAGGGCAACAAAAATTATTAGGGGTATGAAACAGATTCCATATGAGGAGAGATTAAAAAGACTGGAACTTTTCCTCTTGGAAAAGAGATGACTAAGAGGGGGTATAATAGAGGCTTATAACATCTTGACTGGTGTGGAGAAAATGAATAAGGAAGTGTTATTTACCCCTTCACTTAACACAAGAACCAATGAAACAAGGGGTCACTCAATGAAATTAATAGGCAGCAAGTTTAAAACAAACAAAAGGAAATATTTTTTCACACAGTACACAGTCACCTGTGGAACTTTTTGGCAGGGATGTTGTGAAGGCCAAAATTAGAACCGGGTTCAAAAAAGAACTAGCTAAGTTCATGGAGGTTAGGTCCATCAATTACTATTAGCCAGGATGGGCAAGGATGCAATACCATGCTCTGCGTGTCCCTAGCCTCTGTTTGCCAGAAGTTGGGAGTGGATAACAGGGGATAGATCACGTGATGATTCCCTGTTCTGTTCTTTCCCTCTGAAGCACCTGGAATAGTCACTGTTGGAAGACAGGATACTGGGATAGATGGACCATTGGTCTGACTCAATATGGCTGTTCTTACATAAAAAATAATTAAAATAATCAAAAAGTTTAGTACAGAAACTCCCCAAGATAATGACCTCTTGAGCTAGCGATGATGTGGGATAATGACCTTGGCAAATAATGCATTTTTAAAATCTTGGCCTACTAGGAAATGTATATTTATTAAGTTTCCCAGTCACAAATCTAGCATTCTGGACTGAAGTCACGAAAACATAGTGCTCTGGCCGCTGTTGTTTGTGGTGCCACCTTTCACTCTATTGCTCCGTCCCAATGGCCCTGCACTGTCACCTTCTGCTGCCACCTGCCACTGTGACCTCTGGGAGTCGGTCTCTCGAGGTTCCAGCGGCTCTCAGTGATTTCAGCTGAGCTCTCAGTGGGGGAACCTCGCTGCTAGTGCAGGCTGAGCCGTCTCTTCCCGTGAAACACTGTGTCCCAGCAGGTCTAAGCACTTGGACCTGATTCTCAGTGATTTCAGCTGCAGTGGTCACTTAATAAAACAAAAGACTCTCTATGGAGCCTAATCAGCTCTGTCTTTAAACAGTGGAGAGGGGCAGGTCAAATAGTACTTGTGACTCAGGCAGACCATCAAGCAAAACACCTGTCCCCACCCTCTCTCTCAATCCCCTCAATCAGCACAGGGTAAGTACAGTTCTCCTGCCCTTTACTCACACAATAAGAACATCAACATTTCATTCCCCCCCCCCCCCCGCATTCAAGTGATTTGTAACCCAACCCCAGCCAAAATCTATCACTTGGGCAACACAGCTGGATACCTGGGTAGATTAAGTGTGAATATAAATCCAGTCTGGTCCTGAAGCCTTTCCCCCCAACCCCCAGCTCATCACTAGCTGTCAGGGAGAGCTCATTACAAATCACAATTTGAAATTATTAGGTTGGCCAACATCACCGAAATGAATGCACTGACATTATCATCATAAAAAACAACAGCTGTATAAGGAAGCTAGTCTATGTTCATACTTCTCAAATCTATTATACTTTTTCAGATACACATATTTTATCATACACTGTATATGCTTTTAAAGTGTGTATTAATGTTTCAATTTCAATTCAGATTTCCAAACAATCACTAAATTGGCAACACTACATGTAACTAGTTCACAAAACTGGGGGAGGGGGAGGAGGGTTGGGGAAATTCAGGGAGGGGTGTACACTGCCCCCGGGGCGGGGGGAGGGGAGAGAGGGAAATCCCTGAACTGTGGTATGTAACCTATCGCTTAAGTCAGCCTCTGTATCAGATGACCAGAGGATAGCTAATGTGATGACAACTTTTTTAAAAGGCTCCAGAGGTGGTCGTAGCAACTACAGACTGGTAAGCCTAACTTCAGTACCAGGGAAACTGGTTGAAACTACAGTGAAAAACAGAATTATCAGACACTTAGACGAACACAATATGTTGGGGAAGAGTCAATATGGCTTTTGTAAAGAGAAATTGTGCCTCACCAATCTATTAGCATGCTTTGAGGAAGACGACAAACAGGTGGACAAAGATATAGCTTACTTGGACTTTCAGAAAGTCTTTGACAAGGACCCTCACCAAAGGCTCTTAAGCAAAGTAAGCAGTCAGAGAAAGTCCATTCTGGCTTTAGGCAGGAAAGAAAACATA